CCAGAATGCGGCAGCTATACCTCAGCTGCCCACCCAGCAGCCCAATATGCAGAACCTGCAAGCGCAACAGATGCAGCATCCTCTGAATGCATCCGCCATGCCACAGGTCCAGCAGTCCGACATGTGGAATCCGCAAGCGCAATATATGCCACATCACCACAACACACTCAGCATGCCCCAGGGGCCTACCCAGCAGGCCAGCTCACAGATTACACAAGCACAAACGATTGCCCAGGTGCCCATCCAACAGCTCAGCTCGTCGAATATACAAGCACAAGGGACCTGGAATTATCGGAACGCGCCCGGTGAGGAGCTGATTTCTGATAGTCGTTTCCCATTTCCAATGACGAGATCGCTACGTGCGTCTTTCCAGACTGAACGTACGAAATTGCTCAATCGGCAGCAGGCAGGGGGCGACAAAGCGGCGTTGCATTGGGGGCTTTCCGAACCGTACATGCAAGATGCACGTTGGCGACAACTTTGCGCCCGCCATGAAAGAGAAAAAGTCTCCATGTGTGACAGCCAGAACGCGCATCTTCAAAATTGGTACCAGTCTCAACATCAGGCCCGCTAGCAATTTTGGTCTACGCAGAATGAGGGACTCATTTAAGTCGAAGTTTAGGGGAGAAGGAGCGGATTGAAGTCGACATTTTGGAGTGGAGGAGCGAATTGAAATTGACATTTTGGAGGAGAGGAGCAAATTGAAATTGACATTTTGGAATGGAGGAGCAAACTGAAGTTGTCATTCTGGAGTGGAGGAGCAAATAAACGATGAGGTCAAGGTGTCATGAAGGAAAGGCTTTGGAAGGATTGGCTTGCTCGCCATACGTCCAACAGAGCTTTGCATTAGAGGATATGCAGGAGGGTTTTCACTGGCATGATACGTGCTTCATCGACGGCACTCGCTTCATTAGAGTAGCTTTTGTAGTTGCAGTGAAAGTATCTGTCACATATATGTATCAGCTCGAGATTTCCACCCTCTTCCCCAGTACACTCCTGGCGTCCGCTTCGCTCATGCAATCTAACCCCAACTGCTCCAGCGCAAGTCTCGCATTTTCATTACTCATAAACACCAGTCTTTCCGCTTGGAACAAGCTCATCTGCGGCCCTTCGGTTTCTTCCTCTCCATCGTCGTTCCCTTCTCCTTTGACAGGCAAACTCAGCARTGTCACGCCATCAATTAGCTTCCTCATACCAAGCTGTGCCTGTCCCGCTCCAATATATCTGTCCACGGCACTGCACAGAGCTCGCAGGTCAGCGGTAAGCTGTGAAGCACCTGCAGTTGAGAATGAATTTCTGCTCGAAAGGAGTACGCCATCCCATATGACACCTTGCATGAGCAAGCAGACCTGTCGCGATATCCTCCGTAGCGTGGTCTTTCCTACCGCCCTCTTCAAGAAAGCGAGGTACTCATTCAAGAGCTGCAGCGTAGCGTCCAACTCTGACGACACGGATTGACTGCTGTTGGACAGAGACGCCCAATTTCCAACACTGATGTAGCTCTTCAAGGCTTGGCGGATGTCATATGTGATCGTATCCGTCAGGACGCCTTCGCTCCGAACGCGCAGACGGTGATAGCTGGCGGCGGTCTCGTCGAAGAGGGCGCCCTTCAGGGCTCCGTTCTCTTCACCAGTGCCCAAAGCAGAGGAGGTTTTGCGCTGCACTTCCTGCCAATTGCCCAAGACTTTGCCTCCACTAGCCGAGCGATATTCCAATTCTGCCCATAAGTCGAGGAAGAAAAGATCATCACTCCAGTCACGCATGGCGCGCTCAAGATACTCTGCCGAGCCGAAGATGCGGCAGATCCGATCTAGGCCCCGAACACCTTGTAGCTCCGCCTGTTGCTCCTTGCTGATGCCGGACAGACGTGCGCCGACAGTGCTTGTCATGCCCAGCCACGACTCCAAGCCCGCCTGCAAACGTCTATGGTAGCGGTCGAAGATTTCTAGTTGAATGTCGATCAAGAAGCGAACCTTGTGACTGAAACTGGAGAGTGAGCGATAGCGCTCTGTAATGGTCTCCAGCAGGTCATTGACCCTGATTGCGGCCCGGGTGGGCTTAGCCGTGGAGGAATCAGAGGCATCGAAGTCTAGCTCTCCAGCAGAGGGTTCTTCAACGATGCTGTGGTAGCGGGTCAAAGCGAAGGATTGCTCAGCGCGAAGCCAGTCAGGGAAGTAGTTTAGACCATCGGCGTCTAGAAGGACGTGGGAAAGACCAGACCAGGGGACTGACGGCGAGGATGGTGTATAAGAGTAAGTGTTGATGATGGCTGTGTCAAAAGCGAGAACCTCCTGAACGAGATGGCTGAGGAGGGAAGGTTGATCGGCAATTTGCGAAGCGAACGATCTCAGTTTGCGATGCAGGAGAGGTAACAGGGCAGTGATTAGCGCCGAGGTCGCATCGATGTACGCCGGCGTGAAAGCAAGGTCAGACCGGCGAAAGCGGTCGAGAAGGACGGGCTGGAGGTTGTCTTGGACAAAGTCGACGTACTTGGAGATGAGATCCAGAACATGGTTGAGAAAGTATTCGGGTTTGTCAAGCCTGTTGGTCGCCTTTTCGCCGGTAAAATGGTAGGTGAAGCGTTGCGACAGCGGCTGGACAAGCACGTCCAATRGCAGAAGAGAGGGTGGGTCATCCGTAGGGTCGCGGCGAGTGTTGCGTTCGCGCTCTTCGAGGTCTTGTCTTTGCAGGTCCAACAATCTTCCAACGTTGGTGGTCCATTCTTTTTGCAGAGCAAGCGGCACGGTGTCCGTCGATTTGGGCCAATTCATCTTCTTGAGCGTCTTCTCCAGGTTTTCGGAAAATGCGTTCTGAATGGTCTGTCGAAGCGTCTGGACGCTGCCAACGACATGGTCCAGTAGATGAGGAGCGGCTCCCTCGGCTGTCTCCTGCAGTGGGCGTAGACTGGCGACTAGCTGCTGCAGTCGAGTATACGGCTCCAGCGCGGCATCATCGGCTTTGCCCAGGTGAGCCATACACTCGGCTCTTAATCCATCCACCTCCTTCAACAGCTCCACATATCCCGCAGCTACATCCAACTTCCCGAGCCGTTGCATGCTGCCTTCGAATCTCTGCACCGCATCGTCGCTCGTCTCGGCTTGGGTCACGATCAGCAAGCGTCTATCGATGTCCTCCTGCTCTTGCTGGAAAGCAACGGCCTTTTGCTGGACCGATTTGATGTGCTGCACGACGCTGCTTTTCGTCTCGGCATTCTCCCTCCTCGCATCGTCCAGCTGCAAATGGTGTCAGTCGACGGAAGAATGCATCCTGTTGAAGCGACCAACCTGCTTCTTCAGCAATTCCTGCTGTTCTCGCACATTCTCCAACAGCGTTTCGAGGCTGTCTAGATCCGCCGCGGACTGCAGCTTGTCATCCAGGTAGTCCTGAACTCGAGAATCCATCACTGCGGTCATGTCGAGGCTGGAATCCGGATATGACGCGCCAGCTGTCGTTGCTCGTCAATGTTGCCAACATTTAAGCTCGCCGTCTGATTGGCCGCTTAGCGAGCTACTACCGAATGCACAGTGATGCATCACCTTTCACGTCTCCCGCCCGACCTTCGAATGTCACTCCCAAGGTTGATACATGTATCGATGGACATGATCATTGGCAGGTTTCAGCCTCTTCAGCTCATTCCACTCCCATCAAAGGTGTCTGATACACTTGCCGTTACTCTCAGCGTGCTTCGACGCGAAGCTTGAGACACGGGTTCATGATGTTCACAAATGGGCAGCAACGCGACAATTGTCGACGCTGTGCAACATCTGCGTCTGCTCTATAGGTACCGCCTCTCTCAAGCGGCCGCAGTACTCGGAGTAGCTAAAGTGAGTCCTCCAAAGGACAGTCTGTCCAGGTTATCGGTATAGTTCGGGCCGCTGCATAGCTCCACGACCGCACCCTTGCATGCTATAGGTTTCTTTCCTTTGCATCTCCTACATCCTCCCCACCGCCAACAGGAAAAATAGAGCTACCGCATTAAAGATTCGCCGTGCTCGCCGGCTACGGCGGGGAGGGATGACGCGTTTGCTGGCGAAGCTCCGCCGCAAGTCAACTTCACTTTTCTCCGCCGCCGCCTTCAACAACAACACCGAGCACGGCTGGAAATAACAGAACACCACTGACCACTTGCAGTCCCCATCTTTGGTGGTTGAATACTCCGGCGCTGCGATCATCGCCGCCGTTTTCTCCGGCCGCGCCTCGCTGTTCTACTCTGCATTGCCGTGGAGTGAAGTGCACGCAAAGCACTAAAACGGCCCGGAAACGCGAGCAGTTGTTTCTCCCGCCCACGTACACTGCCACCCCTCGGAAGAGATGGATCTTTTCATTCGGAATGTGCCAGCGGCGGCTACTAGCAAGCACGTCGAGGAACTCTTCTATCGTCCCCTGGCTGATTACCAAACTCATCATTTTTTCGCGGCCAAACTCGGTGAAGGGTACGTCTGTCGCGGTACTCCCATATCCCACGCAGCAGCTAATCAGTTCAAGACCACTTGCGAAAATCACAATACTCGATGTTTCCGCTGGTATGCGGTTCCTTGCTGACTACGGCACACCGTATCGAGGGAGAGCTCCGAAATCGATACATTGGGCCGGGCGATACCTTGCTATTAGTGAGAGCAAAGAGAAACCTAGCGACCTCGCCATTCGTTCGTTGCAGGAGAAGTCTCAGAACTCAGTGACAATGGCTCGCGCGATTGAGGAGAGGGATTCTTCCAAGACAATCACGCGGTTTGCGGCTGGCCAGCTCGAGTGCGGCAAGTGGGACCATGTCGACGGACGCCTCACCTTTATTTCGCATTTTCAAGACCACCGGAACGGCTTCATAAACATTGGTCGCAAGCAAGCAATTGTAATGCTTGGGCTGGCTGGGTCCGATCAATGCCGAATCGATTTCAACTACCACGACACTGAAGACATCGTCCTCGAATGCTCGTCGATTATACTCAATCTGCGGTACGCGCCCAAGATTTACATGATTGAAAACGGAATGGCAGGCCTCATGCAGCAGTTGAGCCTAGGCCCACAACAGAAAGGCCGCCGCAAAAAGGTCCGACTCCCGGCGATGAGCAACCTCCATGCGACTGTCACCGGTTCATGTTGGACCTATCGCCTCGCATTGAGCAGCTCCGCAGACGTTCCCGTCATCAGGAAGCTCCTGGCAAGAAATGCGCGTCTATGCCCAATCCACTTGATTGAAGCCAGAAGACAACTTCCGAGCCATTCTCTCGAAGAGGACTTCAAGCGTCTTCAGCACCAGCTGACAATGGCTGACAACTTCGGTTCTAAGCCATTCCCCTTGCGCTTTCAGCTCGACCGCCTGGCTCGGAATGGCTACCTTACTCCTTCCAAAGTCTCTTTGCTACTCCCACTTGTCGCAAGGCTTTTCGCTRCGTTTGGCCTACAGCCCGTCCTTGCGGCTCTCCGCCGTTTGTCGCGTGAGCTTCCGTTCGCAGGACCTGGGGTAGATCCCCTCATTCTCTCACTTGGCAAGCTGGAGGAGTCTCTAAACCTGTACTGCACGGAGTATGATGAGACGGCTCCTACCAATCCCTACGAGTTGGCAAAGCGATATGCCCATGTCAACCTCATCCACAAGCTCGTTGTCACACCTTCTGGAGTGCGTCTTGAAGGCCCAGAAGCAGAACCCACCAACCGTGTCTTGCGCAGCTACTCGTATGCCACAGATGCTTTTGTCCGTGTTGAGTTCCGCGATGACGATGGAGCACCAGTGCGCTACGAGGCGCGAACGGACATGACCAAAATATATCATGAACGCTTCAAGGGCGTCCTCGACACCAGTGTGATCATCTGCGGCTACGCATACTCTTTCCTCGGGTTCTCCCATTCCTCGCTACGCAATCAGTCCTGCTGGTTCATGCGTACTTTTGTCGACAGCACTCAACAGCCGGTTTTTGCCGAGCTACTTCTGAAGCGACTTGGCGACTTCGAGAGTATCAGAACGCCAGCCAAGGTATGTAGTTTGTGTCTATTCCGGAGACGCAGTTTCAAAACTAACCCCCGTCGTCACAGTGCGCAGCGCGAATTGGACAGAACTTCACCGATACCAATGCTTCGGTCGACATTCATCCTAGCGAGCTTGTTGATCTGCCGCTCGTACAACGTAATGGCCGCGACTTTGGTGATGGTGTAGGCACTATATCTGCCGAGTTGCTAGACCAAGTACACCGTGTCTACGGTACCAAGAGGATGCTGAAGCCGAGTGCACTACAAATTCGCTTCCAGGGAGCCAAGGGTATGGTCGCTCTCGATRGCAGGTTGAGAGGCAAGAAGTTGTGCTTGAGATCCAACATGATCAAGTTTCCGACTAAGTCGACCTGGAACCTGGAGCTGTGCGGAGCGGCGTTCAAGCCTCTTCCCATGGTATTGAACAGACCGTTCATCAAGCTATTTGAAGACCTTGGCGTATCCATCAGAGCCTTGATGGACTTGCAGAACAAGTTCAAGGAGAAGCTCACAAAGATGACACTCTCTGCCACTAACACAGCCACCTTCTTGGAGGACACCGAGACTCCCAGTGCCACAAAACTCCCTTCGCTCGTTCGGTATCTCGGTCAAGTTGGGCTCGACTATCATGCCGACCCGTTCCTTTACAGTGTTGTAGAGATGACAGTGGTTACGAAGCTTCGCGAGGTCAAATATAAAGGCCGCATCCCGGTCGAAGATGGTGTCACTCTCTACGGCATCATGGACGAAACTGGAATCTTGAAGGAACGCGAAATTTACGTCGTCACCGAGAAAGCACCTCAAGGTGGCAGGCGCGTCATAGTTCACAAGAACGTGGTGGTGACACGTTCGCCGGCGATGCACCCTGGCGATATTCAAGTGGTGGACGCTGTGGACGTCCCCGAAAACTCGCCGCTCGCTAAACTCCGCAACGTTGTCGTATTCTCACAGCATGGAGCCCGCGATCTACCCAGCATGCTGAGTGGTGGAGATCTGGACGGCGATTTGTACAACGTGATCTGGGCACCGCAGCTCGTTCCCTCCGTTACCTACACCGCCGCCGACTACCCAAGGGTCCCCCCAATGGAACTGGATCGTGTCGTCACGAGGAAAGACATGAGTGACTTTTTCGTTACTTTCATGGAGACTGATCAGCTCGGCATGATTTGTTCTGCACATCGTGAGTTTGCATACTGAGTCTCCAGTGCAGCAAAACGCCGCTAACTGTGTACAGTTCAAATCGCCGATCAGAAGGACAAGGGTACTCTCGATGAAGACTGCATCAAGCTTTGCAAAATGGCATCAACAGTCAGTATAGGCTTGGAGCAAATTGTGTTCTARAGATTCAACTGACATCCTCTGACTCTAGGCTGTCGATTTCTCCAAGACTGGTATCGCAATGACCGAGCAGATGCCCAGATACCCTCGAGTTCGGCCAGACTTCATGGCACCGAGCCCAAGAGTCTTCGTTTCTTCGTCTGGCTTCCTGGATTACGAAGACACAGACGAGGAAGAGGACGAAGCTCTCGAAGGCATCGACTCAGAGAAGCCCCGTATGCGGTACTACACCAGCCAGAAAGCTCTTGGCAAACTCTTCCGCAACATCGACGAGCGTAAATTTGTCGCAAACATGCAGCAGAGACAGCGCAGTGCTTCGGGACTCCTAGCTCGAGGAGGCCCGACCGTCATGATGAGCTTGCTGAAATATGCAAAGCACTGGGCGCTCCAGTACGGTGTCATCTACGAGCACCACAAAGTGCTGGCGAGAAAGATCCGCAAGGTGTAAGTCTTCTGTTTATACTGTACCGCGCTTTCCAACTAACCCATCAATTTCTAGCTACGAGGAGAGTCTTGATACCATCCTCCACGACTACGAGCCTATGCCAAATTCTCCCTTATCCGAAACCGAGGTCTTTGCCGGGCAGATTGTAGGCCGCCAAGGAGGTCTCCAGGACAAACCACTCAAGGACCTCGCCAAGACGATGCGAGAGCGATTCAACACTCTGGTCGAACATGCCACCATGCGTATCACCAAGGACGACGAAGCAATGCGTGAGGCCGACGACTTGGACGACCTCTACGACGACACGCACTACGACGAGCGTGAATTGGAAGCACTGCCGAGAGCTCTGGCGTGCTTCGAGGTCGCGGTGTCGGAGAGCGGATACCGGGATCCGAAGCTGGGMGAGCTCAAGAGTTTCGGTTACGTCGCGGTCGGCGTGGTGCTGAGGGAGTTGGATCGATACAGGGTCACTACCTTTGGATCGAGAAGTGGTTTGCCTCGGGCATGATTGCTCGATTGTGATGGTGTCGAAGGATCACGACACGTGGATGTTGCTTCGGTGGAAGAATGTCGAAAGATCAGGACATGTGGATGTGGATATTGACGGAAGCTGGTCGATGAGGCGGACTGCCTGTGTTGTATGCTTCATTCCATCACGGGTCAAGATGCCGAAGGCCATGGAGCAAAGTTTGTTCATGTAGAGGAACACGAAACAACCACTGGTCGAGTAGTGGACCAAAGCTCAATTTGATAGAACTACCGAATGCGACCACAGCATTGAAGCGTTGGTATGTGCCAGGGATCTTTGCGCAACAACCACTTCCTTTCAAAGACTGCAACGGCTGGTACTGCCACTCAAAACCTGCCATGACATGTAACAACACAATCAACTTGCTCGGTCCTCTCCTCGAGTACATTGGCAGGAAGGTATCTCAGATCTGAGCGCTCTAAATCGGCGGATAAGTATCTGGCCTCGCTGCCAAGACGTGAAAGAAAAGGCTTGCAGAAGATTCATCTAGAGCCCGAACTTTAATTCAAGCTCAGCCAAGAGAATAAACTTGGCTGGCAAACTCTAAAGTGGTGATGGCGTCTTTGAGGCGTGGGTCTCGTCCCAACCGGGCCACCACACGGGTCGGAAGGAAATTTGAAGGCCATCAGTCTGCCTTGCTTTGCCTCCTCCGGCAGCGCACGCTATCGCCATCTGAGCAGCTTCGTGCGAATGCGACTCGCCGGACCACCTGCCTATCTTTGAGCCTCGCTCTTGTGGTGCGGCCTTCAACAGTCGAAGCGTCGCAAACGGAACATCGACTTGTAATATGACCAAGATCTGGATGCCAATTCATATGGGGAGTTGCCGCCGAACAGTACTGCTTTCGGAGCTACAACCTTTATGCGCGTGGACATTACCTCCGCGGGCCACATGGTGTCTGCGTGGCGCAGCTAACTTTCCCCATCGGTGGATATGAATCGAATATAGCAAAGCACGTGGCAGGCGGCTTTTCATTCTCCGGCTAGCACTGCAGCTATAGACGCACTACGACTGCTTCTTGCTGCCCATTGGATGCCGGCTCGCTTGTCTGCAAAGCGACTCTGGAGTATGCAGAGAACACGCCGAGCACTTTCTTGGAAATGGCATGTTTACGCATTGATGCGTTTCCCAACCTGGGCACGAGGTAAGGCCAGGCTCTCCTGATTTGGCACGATGAGCCTTAGTACTCCCACAGAAGTCTGGTCTGTCAAATCTGGCCGGAACGATGGCCAAGAGTAATGAGACATGTACTGCTAATGGCCCACCTGAAAGAATGCTCATCCCATTCTGTCCTTTGCTTGACACATCTTTCATCACCCCTGCTGAAGTGATATGACGCGCTCATTTCTATCGAAGCTGGCGGCCTGCCTTGCAGTTTCCTATCTGATCCAGCTCTGCAAATGTCTAGGAGACACTGACACAATCACCTGGGGCGGCGATGTCTCTCGAGCAGGCTATGAGACCAACCACAAGCTGGATCCACGGACGATCGCAAGCGCTGACTTTGGCAATATCTGGACTGCCAAACTTCCTGGCAATTTCAACAACATCGGAGCAGAGCAGGTCTTGTCTCAACCATTGGTATACACAACTGGAGACGGTATTCAGTATGTCTTCATCGCAACCACGCAGAACAACCTCTACAAGATCAATGCCAAGACCGGAGAGATTGTCCAGAAAAGAAATATCGGTGTTCCTTTCTTGGCTGCGGACTTGAACAACTGCAATGATATCGCGCCGGCTATTGGAGTTTCTGGCACTGGAGTTATCGATCCAAGTACAGGGCTGTGGTATTTCACCTCAAAAACATATTCTGAACAGGTCAGCTGGCCCTACGATGACAGAGGTCGATACACTAACACACGTTCAGTTCCAAGGCACAATCTTTGGTCCTCAAAATCCACCAGGTCGAGCAAACGGGCGGTACTACTTTTATGCAATCAACACAGTAGATCTCTCTGATGCACCCAACTTCCCTCGACCAGTTCATGGAACTGTCTTCCGCAATAACAACAGACGCATGCTAATCGCAGGTGACCAACATCAACGACCTGCTCTGCTACATGTCGGGGAATACATTTACACCGGATGGGCCAGTCACTGCATCATGTACAACTACACTGGCGCGATTATCGCTTTTCACAAAACGACTGGTGCTATCGTCGAGGCCTTTGCCACTCAGGGAGGTGCGGAGCCTAACACTGTCCCTGGAGGCGGAATCTGGATGAGTGGTGGTGGTCTGGCCTATGATGGAGCTGGAAGTATGTTCTTCTCGACTGGCAATGGCTACGCCGCTCAACTTCCTGCGAACGGTCACCCTGTCTCGGGACGTAGTCCGCCAACTGCCTTGGATGAGGCTGTTGTTAACATGAAGCTTCATGATGACGGAACCATTGAGCCGGTGGACTTTTTTGTAAGTCAGCCGCAAAGCTCCCCAACTTTTATCGCTTCCGTGCTGCTTGCTGACTCCCCTAAGATGCCTCATGAGAAAACTCAGCTGGACGGTGCAGACAAGGATCTCGGCACGACACCCTTTCAACTTCTGCCGTCAACATTCTCGTGCCCCAACGATCGCAGGATCGGCATGGTCACTGGAAAATCTGGTCAGCAGCGAATGATAGTCGACTGTATTGATAAACCATTCACTGACAGGTGTTCACGCAGGAAAAACATATTGGCTGAATGTTGACAATCTAGGAGGCTACCAAATGGGTCCAAATAGACTGGACGACGCTATACAGGTCTTCCAGCACGAGAACTCGGTCTACTCTGGTGCTGGGATAATGCCGCTGGGTAAATTCATCTACGTGAATGTCATCAACTATTACACCCGGGCTTTTCAATTCAGCTGCACAGCAAATGGAGACGGGGCGTTCACAGAAGTCGCCACAGCGGCCGAGAAGAATGCTCAGAACCTCGGCGTCGGCCACGGTACAACGACCTCTATCGATGGTCGCGAAGGAACTGGACTGTACTGGACCACTGACGTGGAAGGGATAAATCTCCGTATCTATGACGCTACGCCTCCAACCGATGGTAGCCCGATGAAGCTCCTCAGGGCTTTCAATATCCCAGCAGCTGGAAAATTTGCAAAGCCTGTCTTTGGAGATGGCAGAGCGTATGTCGTTGCAGCTGGCGCACTATACGCTTACGGAGCACCTGTCAACCTCGCCCTGAACTGCACTTCACCAATTAGATTTCCGCGGACTTCAATCAACAGCACATCGGACTCCCTCGACATCAACTGTACCGCCAATGTCGCCACGACGGTTACAAGCTTTAACGTCTCGGGGAATCGAAACTTTGTTATGGAAGGCCTTCCTAAGACCCCGCTGGCTCTGAGCCTCGGGAAGCAATTCTCATTCCAGGCTCGCTTTGCTCCCAAACAAGTCGGGTCTCTCTCTAGCGACATTCTTGTATCCACTTCGAATCAAGAAGCAGGGTCGACATCCACCACTCCAGTTACACTTACTGGCCAAGCAAACTCCGCCGCTGCACTCTTCAGCATCAATCCCATCACCATCAATTTCAACAGCACAGTAGGCGCAGGCGAAGTCACAAAGAGCGTCTTCTTCAACAACGAGGGTGACAATGTGTTGAACATTAGCTCTGTTCAATTCTCGGTGGTTTCTGAAACCGGACCATGGCTTGCTCCGAATACCACCGATGATGGCAAATTGCAGGTGGCTCAGTTCTCCTTTTCTGGCCTCCCGAAAAGCATTCCTCCCAATGGTAGACAGCCAGTCAGCGTGGCATACAACCCTCCCGCGGCGGGTAACCACGCTGTCTTCGTGAAGACAACCACAGATGGAGGTGCCAAAGTACTGGACATCTTCGGAGCCACGGGGAGCGACCCGGTAGCACTTTTCGAGTTCGAGAGAGCTGATGGAACGGGCTGGGACCAGTACACGCCTGACAGGAACTTTACTTTTGGCAAAGTCGCTCCGGGGGAAGTCCGTCGCTTAGTCATGCGCATCACAAACAACGGGTCTTCCACAGCATCTCTGCTTGGGTTGACGGTCTCTAAACCTCCTTTCGGCGTTCCTGGATTCGTACGTGCTGCCAACGGTATTGATCTGGCGGAAGGKACCCAAATCGCGGCGGGACAATCGGCCAATGCCACAGTCTTCTGTGCGCCTCCAGAGCGCCAGCTCAACACCCCTGCGACGTTTGCCACGGCCGGGTGGAGAATCAACACCAACAACAACCAAGGAGCTGTCATTCTGAACTTTGACTGCAATGCTGTCTCTCCGCAAGTTGGACCGTTGTTGTCCAATGGAACTGCTCGGGTCGGCTATATTGGCTGTTACCAGGACTACATCGACCGCAGGCAGCTCGCCTATAGTCCATACAACAATGACAACAATACCGCTGAGAATTGTATCAATACATGTKCGCAAGGAGGCTACACTTTCTCTGGTACAGTCTTCCGCAGCGAATGCTGGTGTGGTCACGCTCTACCCCTGAAACGCGGAACAGACGATGATTGCAACTTCCGCTGCAGTGGAGACGACAAGCACGCATGTGGTGGTGATGGAGTTACCCGAGACATGAACATGATATCCCTTTTCGCTGACTCCAAGTCGTGGGATGGAGTTACGCAAGGCCCACCTTTGGAGATGACTTCCAACAGCGGAGCTTATGCCTACGCCGGCTGCTATGCTGAGACGAATGGCAGAACCTTCAACACAAAGAATCAAGTCAGCCAGATCAACACCATCGATAACTGCAGGGCCTTCTGCGGTGGCTCGCAATTTTTCGGTCTGCAATATGCATCTGAGTGCTACTGCGGAGCGTCGATATCGAGGACCTCCTCTCTTTCCCTGGATTCCGAATGCAGTATGACTTGCAAGGGTAACAACAGCCAGTACTGTGGAGGTCCCAATCGGATGCAGGTCTACCAACTCAACTCCACATCAAGCTCGTCCACCTCCTCCGCAGCATCGCCCACTTCAACTTCTGAGCCTGACAATGGAGGAGTGTCGCAACAGATCGGAGCATACCGGTACCAGGGATGTTACAACGAGGTTGCCGGAGCCAGAGCACTTTCTGTCAAACAGAGATACAACGACGAAGATACCACTAACAGGGTATGTGCTGCCTTCTGCGCCGGCTCCACGTATTTCGCTACTGAGTACGCAAGAGAGTGCTATTGCGGCGACGACCTCGACCCAGCTTCACTTCCTGTTATGGATGGGCGTTGTTCCATGCCATGTAAAGGAAATGAGACCGAGATCTGCGGAGGACCCAATGGTCTGACACTATTCAAGCTCCAGACTAACACCACCTCCACCGCTTCCACGAGCTCTACGACGTCGACAAAGACTACTGAGCCTTCATCATCCGCGAATTCAACATCCGATTTGACTTCTACTTCGACTGCATCATCGACATCTACGACTGCCTCGGCCACCCCTTTAACCTGTCCAGAATCGAACGGTACCACCTACATCTCGAGTGCGAAGACCTTCCTGATCGAATGCGGCACAGACTACCAGGGCAATGATTTGAAAGCCGTGGAAGTCGGTCCGAACAATCTCAATCAATGTATTGATGCATGTGCGACTACTCCAGGATGTGTGACTGTAGCATTGTCGGGTGCTGCATGCTACATGAAGAGTGCTGTAGGGAATACAGTATCGAGCGGGGTCTGGGGCGCTAGAATGATCGCTGTCACCCCCTTTTCAACGGCAGTGGATACGACTGCTTCTTCGACCACATCAACCTCGACGGATGCAACTAGTACTTCAACTTCATCAGCCGGAAGTATCTCAACGAGCGAGACTTCTTCTTCGACACTTGATCCGTCTACGAGCACGTCTGAGTCTTCTCTGACAACAGGCTCCAGCACTACAACAAGCAGCACTGCCAAAATTAGTACCACAACCAGCAGCTCAACCACGTCGAATAGCGAGACGAGCACGACCGCGAGCTCTAGTAGCACCCAGAGCAGTTCGACTACATCGAGCGACATTATGACCAGTACATCTAGCAGCACAACAACCACACCAGAGACATCTACCACAAAATCATCATCCAGCACGACTTCTTCATCTGGTCCAACTGTCGCTCSAACCGCCGGAATCTACTACTCACTAGGATGCTACAGCGAAGAGCCCAACGGCCGCGCCCTATCAGAAATCTACCGCAACGACGCCATGACAATCGAAATGTGCGCCAAAGAAGCCACTCGTCGRCAATTCGACTTCTTAGGCCTAGAATTCGGCACGGAATGCTGGATGGGAGATTCCATCGCGGAAGAAGCACAGCCTCTCATGCAAGACCAATGCAAAAAAGCCTGTCCAGGGAACAAGAACAATTGGTGTGGTGGCGATTCGACCTTGCAGATGTATAGACTCAACGCTACGCTTGCGACTCCCAAGACTCCTACTCCAATTGGACCGCTCAGTTGTCCCGAGGCCGATGATACGGTGTGGATGACGGAGGATGGGAAGTCTCGATTCCGGATCGAGTGTGGATGGGATCGTGATGGTGGGTCTCAGGGTCGAGTTACGGCGGCGACTTATGAGGATTGTTTGAACGCTTGTGCAACGACTTCTGGTTGCAAGAGTGTTGCTCTATTGGGGAATAATTGTTATTTGAAGACTGGGAAGTTAGGAACCCCTGAACGTAATTCGGACATCAGGGGTGCGACATTGCTTACGAAGTGAGGCCATGGAAGTGATAGCATGTATACGAACATATAGACAATAGATAAGCGAGAAAGAGACACACGTACTTAGATATTGAGCCTCATTTGTAAAAGCCTGCATCCGATGCTCTCGATGATTCGAAGCTGTCTACGCCGCGACAGCTGGCGACTTCTCCGCTAAGCGGAACATTTTGCCGAACCACCCATATGCTCTGTTCAATCGTCGACCAAGCGTACGACAAACCCTATATGGTATTTTACCACCGGGATGTGGCTCATGGAAATGAATGCTTCTCTCAAAGTCCAGCCCAGAAGGGCTGAAATGCCAAACGGAACCGTACAACTTTCGTGGCCGGAAACCCGTGGCTACCATCGCATGGAGGAAGTCATTCCAAGGAACCTCGCCAGGGGTAGAATTCGTAGATGGTGTCCAGAAGATCGTCCTAAACACTTTGAGAGCTCGGTCATCGACTGCAAACTCTGGCTGGACGTCCTCTGTGGTGATCTCTTCGCCGTGCTCTGGACTAGAACTCTGTGCTGCAAGTCCGCGGGTCTTTTGCTTGACTTTAGGTGTTCTCACAGCTGTTCCAGGGGAGTTCACTGACTTGCTTCGGTGCTCCAGGCTGAAGAGGACCTCTGACAGCGGTCGCAGGTCTATCTTCGTCGACAATGCCGGGACTTCTGCGGTCTTACGAACAGGTTCCGTCCATTCGAGAGTCCTGTGTAGGTCACGCGGCTCGGACAATAGATCGTGAAGGGCGGTTTTTCTCAAATCTCCCGCAGAGCTGCGCATCTTCTCGTCCACTTTCGACCAGAAGAGGTCAAGATTGGCTTCAGCACGTCTCATTGCTTCGGTGGTTTCTCTCGTCTTGCGTTTGTCGACCGGGTAGAAGAACCGCCCTTCGGTCGGTGCCCCATAGCTGGAATAGACGGGATTGAGGCTTCCTAATGAGCTTAATATCCTAGCCGTAGGTTCATTTGTCTTTGCAAACTCCGCTTTAATGTCTATCCCGATCAGCATCGTGTCAGTGGTCGTTATGGAATACTAGATGCAGCTCACCGTCTTGCCGATGAACCATGAGGTGCTCGTAAGTATTGGCCCAAGGCTGAAAGACATCCAGCTGACGAATGCACTCGCAGATAATAGAAAGATCCGAGATCAAGGCCGCAATGTTCGACGTTATCAATGCTTTGATCTTTGGATCTGACTCAACGAGACGTTGAAGCTCATCGACCACGTTTGTGAGGCGAAGGAGGAATAAGTTCCGGCCATCTTCCCAGATTGTACTAACAAGCCAAATAAGCTGCTGTTGAACCTTGCTCATTTTGACGTCCACTTTGGACTGAGCGCGGATTTTCGTTTGATTGGGGTCATCTTCTGGGATCCGGGCAAAGAAAGCACGCATTGGAGGCGAGGCTACAAATGCGTGTTTGAGGACCTCAATGGGATCCTTTGAAGTCTGATCCAAGTAGTGCCTGAACTTCAAGATGGCGTCCATGTATGGCACTGGCAAGTCTTTTTCGGGCGAGATGCTTTCTGAATACTGCTTCTGCATAGCCTTGAGCTGCTCGGATTGCCGATGGAGCTCAGTGTACATCTCGAGCTGCATGTAGGGAGATGCAATCTCGTTATACACAACACGAGCCCAAAGGACATCTTCACGATGAGCAGGAAACAGGGGATGAGGTCCTCCACGGGTGTCATTAATCATCTCCAGTCGATGCTCCCGAGCGTCCCACATGATGTCGGAAAAGTAAGCCGGGTCCTCTCTCATCATCCAGATCTTATCCTTGACGGCGTCGCGTCGGGCCGCGAGCAGTGATTCGWTATGGGCAAAGTCGAGCTTCGCAGGCGGCCTGWACGGCGCTTCTGCTGCCATGATTGACAGTGATCCCAAGCCAGATTCAGCCTCGGACACCGAGGGCGGCGCTGGCAATACGTCACCATCTAACAGATTATCCTCCGGTATGTCGTGCAATATTTGCTTTGCGCATGTTACCAGGAAGCGCATGGTCTTCATCTGAGATTCAAGAATCAGGAGCGCTTCTCCAGGGCTCGAGCCACTCCTACTCATCAGCCAGTCGAATGCATCGGGATGATCCCACCAACTGATGATGGCGCCGTATGTCTCCGGGTTGTCACACCCTGTGAACATAACAGTGTGTTCGTTGAGGAAAGAAGAAACCTGAAAATCCTTAGTATCCTTGTGCTGTTCAAAGTGTGCATAGAACAGAATAGGATACTAACAACGGCATCGGATGTGATGCCAATGTGCATGGCTTCGCCATCAGCAGCGGCGAACTCAGCAGGTGGAGATCTTGCGCGAGCGTTCATGAACAACAGCAGCGTCCTTGGTTTTACCAAGTCCTCCTGATTGATGAACGGCCACATGAAGGCGCCGCGATATTTTGAGCCAGAGAAGCGCTGTTCATTGGTCATGGTGTGCAAATGAGCAAAGTCGGGGCGATGAGTTGCCGGCATGTCCGGCCAGGCGGTAAGTAGGATCTTTCGCTTCTGCTCCTTCGTCTTCTTCATCCAACGCTTTTGTTAAACAGCCTCATGCCGCTCCAGGATGCCTCGCAGGAGATCATAGTCGCGAAAGATGCTTTGCGATCTTTGCTTTGCTGTCTTCCGTGCGTGCTCAGGCGTGATGGTGAAAGCAGCCAATCTTGTTGAAATCCAGTGGTCCATGGATGGCAGCAGAGGTTTGATGGAGTTGGTTGGAGGATGAGAGAGAGAGGTGAGGTTTGACGAAACATCCATGCCTACCTTACCTTGTTCATGCGAGCACACGCGCTAACAGTCTTAGTACGMGCTCAGTCGCGTGACCACGCGCGCTCAAATCGAAGGGTCAATGTAGGGTAGGTACCTTGAGTGGTGTCGATCCGCTCTTGCCGCTGTGACAGTCTCAGCCCGTGGACCTTTGCATCCTCTTCTCACTGCCACGCATCGAGATGCTAAAGTTGAACTGTAGCGAATGTCTGTCAAAAGTGATGAATGCCACTGTCAGGAGTACATTGCGTTCTAAGACAACTCAGGACGACGAATCAGGACGTGGTGGCTGGAGATGAGAAATGAGATACCTTGATAGTTGTGAAGTTGCGAACATTGGACACTGTCGATTCGCAAGAGTCTTGTAGCTTCCTCCTAAAATGGTTTCCAGCATTCCGCCATCATTTCAGCTCTCACCACTATCCAAAGCGCCTACCCAAGAACGCCTCTGTACGCCAATACCAACATCATCTACAATCATGCCTGCAACCTGGATCCATAACTCATGTTCACGCTGATCTGCAGTATCCCAGCCTTGAAATCTATGGTCCCTGGACCTTGTGGTCGCCCACAGCCTGTGCGTATGATGGAGGCACCTCTTCACTTGGGCCAGCCTGCTGTTGTCTTGGCGCTGCTACAGCTTTTGACTTTGGCTGCACAACACCTTGCTGCTGACCAGGAAACTGCTGGTCGACTGTGCTGTTGACCGTACCATAACCGTGGGGRGCTTCTGGTCTCCGTGATGGCTGGGTCTGCACGTAGTAGTGTGTGACATTGCCCCGCTCGGCATCCTGCGGAACCTGGTGATAGGTGGGTTCGGGGTAGGTCGAGATGATGTACCATGCATGTACAAGGCCAGGGAGGAAGCCGAGACAGCAAAGAGCGAGATTGATCAGACTGTCGGCGGAGCAGATCCCACGCTTCACCCAGACGGCGATGGGTGGGAAGAGGATGGCGACGATCGCTAGGAAGACGTCGCTACCGCACATGATGGAGTTGTTCCGGTTGGGTTCGTGAGGTGGTGCAAGAAACGCTGTCCAGGAGTCGAGGCAAGGATGTGGTCGAAGGTGAGGTGGAGAGTGATCGTGTGAAGAGCAGAGTGCCTTCGTGACTGCCTAGAGTTGTGGCGCAGATGACGCAAGCGCGCCACACAGTTCGGTTCGGCAATCTCGGTACAGCCCTAAATAGTCACGCTTTCCTTTCCATCATTTGCAAAACACCAAACACATGACAACCGATTGACTTCAAAATGCAGGCCGACAGACGACGTCTCAATGCTCCAGCAGGTGGTACCGCACCTCCTATTTTTGCTGCATCTCAAGGAGCTAAGATTGAGAAGCCAATTCGGGCGCGACAATCGGACGAACATCGCAAAATCTTCCTCCGGACTGGAGTAGTGCCAACCGCGAGCGGGAGCGCGTATTATGAGATACCGCCCCTCACTCCAACCAGCTCTAACAAAATACTCATTCCTTCTTCATCAAGTTTGAAAATCACATGCACGGTTCACGGACCCAGGCCTTTACCGCGAAATGCTGCCTTCAGTCCCAACATGCTCTTGACATCTCACATCAAATTCGCACCATTCGCCACACGCCAGAGACGAGGCTATGTGCGGGATGCCGCCGAGCGGGATCTGGGAGCCCATTTGGAGACTGCATTACGGGGAGTGGTCATTGGTGAGAGATGGCCGAAGAGTGCCTGTGAGGTCGTAATCACTGTCTTGGAGGGCGAGGAGGACGGTTGGTGGGGAGATGCGGGCGAGGGAGGGAAGGCGGGAGGATGGGGGATGATGAACGTTCTGGCCGGGTGTATCACGGTGGCGAGTGCCGCTCTCGTCGATGCAGGAATTGATTGCGTGGATTTGGTATCTGGAGGTGTCGCGGCTCTTACTGGACCTGCTTCCTCCGACAACAACGACTTTGTGCTTGATCCATGTCCTTCGGAGCATGACATTCGCGCGGCTTGTGTGGTTGGCTACCTGCAGTCAAGGGACGAAGTTACCGAGATGTGGATGAAAGGCGACGCAGGATCGCAAGCCGAAACATTAATCGACAAAGCTGTAAATGCCGCCACATTGACCCGTACTGTCTTGGCCGAAGCCATCAAGGAGGCTACAGAGGCGAAGATTGCTCGATCGGCAGAGCCCGTAGATGATACGCCGGCTGCAGGCAAACGCAAGSCTGATGATGTTGCAATGACTGGATGATCTACTTTGCATTTCTTGCGCCGGCCTTCGTCCAACGACATCTGGAAGTCCATTACGCCTGAGATTTGCAAATGCAACAAGTAAAAGCGGCCGATTCGCGGACAGCCAAAGCATTCGAATGATGCCCGAACAGCGTTGTCCTCTCTCGATACGCATACATACTATGGGACGCCGTACTCACGCAACTTCGCGTCAGAGACGCCGCAGTGGTAGGAGACCATGGCGAAAAGCTGATTTCCCGCACTGCTTCTCGAAATGGCGGTGACAAAGCCAGCAAGCCACTCGTGGGAGATGGTAGCGTTGTAACACGCCGGACGGCATATTTGGGTCTACGAGCTGACTCTGCAACGCACGGTCGACGTTAATCACAAACCATTTCCGAATTTCCATCTCTCACTCCCGTCCCCGTGCCCTTACTGTCGAACAATCTCTTCAAGAGGAGGAGGAGCCCTGGGAGACCGCCGCGACCCTAGGCTATCCCACTCGGAACAGAGGTTGTAGCTCGTCGTTCACAGGATCGCCAAAGTCACTTCCGCCCACGCCCTTCGCCAAATCGCACGAATCTCGTCCTTACTGTAGACCAGGGAAGCTTAGACGTTATGGTCGAGATGCGAGATATAAGCCGAGCGAAACTTGCCGTGCAGAAAGCCTCTCGTCGTGCCTTGGAGCTTTAGACAAGCTCGGATGCCCTGTCAATAGCTTTACCAATGCGTGGCAACGAGTGTCCCAAACCGTGCAGGGCGCAGGGMTCCATGCTTGTGTTGCACGGAGTGCCGCTACTGAAGGTTTGACTTTKGAGAGAAGGTGGATGGGGCGAGTAGAATGCTCTTAAGAGGTGCTACGCTTGCTGTACTCTAAATAGCCCTCGATGTATTCGAGCTGGTCTTTTCACGATTTGGTAGTCATAACGCAAGGAGAGTGGGCAAAACCGCCCTTTTCCTCTCTCTACAACTTTTCACAAATGGAGAAGAGAGCAACAACCGCCCTATGTTTGTACTCCAGCTAGCGCCGGAGCCTACCGAGCCAATTGCAWCAGCTTCACGCGAAGAGAGCTGGCGACAACCGCCCTCGTCATGTTGGTTGTCTCCGTTTCGAAGGAACGTTTGGAGAGGAGGGGGATTTCGTCGTTTCTATACCTGCACCTCAGTTAGCGGCGGTTAGATCCGAGCCAATCGCTGTAGAGAGGAGTGCGCTAGCGATCGGGAGATCCATTTTCCGGAGCTTGTATTGCCTTCACTTCATCTTCTAGATTCTGCATCGAACGGCCACCAACATCACTTGGTTGAAACTGAGATGATCTTTCAGTACGCTCATCTGCTCAAGGGTTCCATCCGTCTGGCCAGATTCCATCCTGATAGCACTCCAGCGAGAATCTCCCTGACTCTCGAGCATGAGCAGCGTTATGCAGACCGCAACGTCCATTTCACCGCTCTTGCATACGAGCCTCAAGCATCAGATGCTGAGATGAGCGAAATTTTGCTACAAGGTCGAACAAGGCGGGTTCCTCAGAGACTGTGGCAAGCTCTCAGTGCGCTGGTCGACCATCATGATACAAGCGGACGTTTCTGGATCGACTATGTCTGCATCAATCAAAACAATGAGGCGGAAAAACATGATCACAAGTCTCGTCTCGCCGATATTCATGCCTCTGCTGATGAAGTGCTTCTTTGGCTGGGAGTGGATCATGATGTTGCTGGAGCAGAGCCAGACATGGCGCCGAATTGCAGTGATGTGCCGTCGTATCGATCGGGGATATCAACTGGATCTCAAACGATCTCTCCACACATCATTGAGCGTCTTCAACTGCAGCAGGCCAAGAAGGTTGTTCTCATCCAAGGCGAAATGCTCGCCGAAGTTTGGAGAAATGATCCTCACAGCGCGCTGTGAAGCGATCGCAAAACTTGGGAAGCTTGAACGGCTTGAAACCTTCGCCACGGGGTAAGGGCTTCAATCTATCTTGGAGGATGGACAGGACAGGAGCAAAATTTATTTCATTCTCATGCCGGAGTGAATCCCAACGCCGTCCATGCTGAAGTCCCAAGTCATGTCGCCCAGCTCTTCGCCACTACGTTTTTAAGCCACGCCTTCATCAACATATTCGATCGAAATCTACTCCATCAAAAGATCGGTCCGACGCTTCCTAATGTACGCCATCTCCGGTCCATTCAACCACACCCAAAGGACATATACGGTCGCGCCAAACACCACGATTGCCAAAATGGAACCCAGGCGTCTCATAGAAGTTCGGACGCCCTCGACTCTTTCCTGGGCTTCTATCAAGTCAGCTTGCGCTTGAGCTAGAAGAGCACGGTTTGCGACCGTGTCTCCCTCGTTCTGTACCAGTCTGTTCTGGAGCGTATGTACCAGAGCAGTGCTTGCTTCGAGATTCACRCGGAGAGCGGAGCGAGATTCACGAAGACCATCTGCTTCAGCCTGGTAGTCTCGGTCTTCGTGATCGCCGCCACCACGAACAGTGTAATGGACGTTATCACTCTCACGGTCGGAGGAGATGGACGCAAAGCGCCGCAGAAAGTCGCTCTCGATCGGTGAGCCGATGAACGGATTTTCCAATTCGGTAGCAAGGCGGACGAACGGAGATTGACGATCTTGGATCTCGATGCCCTCATATGTCGGCTGTTCTGGCAGCGGAGTGTCAGGAACAATTGAAGTGTCGTCGAAAGATTGGTCCTCGTCGAAGATGTTGTTGCTGCTGTTCATGTTACCGGCGACCGGGGTGTTCTCGACCATGACGATATCGTGAAGTTCTGTCTCGGGCGTGTGCTGCGGGCTTCCTTCTGGAGTTGGGAGTTCTCCTCGTGAATCAAGAGGGTATCCTGGACGAGCGGTGAAAGGCGTGCTATCGCCAGATAACCCGGAACTCTGACTGGATGGAGTGGATGTTGCTTTTGCCGGACGACCCCGATGCTTCTTAGTGGCTGACCCGGTTGTGTTTGGAGTTTGCGTAGCTGTCTCTTGTAGCTTACGCTTCCTGCAGTCCTCCAAGGTGGACGATTGCGAAGGTTCGCGGTGTAGTCGAGCGAGCTCACAACGGGATATGCGGATGGATGAGCTTGCAGGGTTTGACATGATATCGAGGGCTTATTTGTGTGTCTTGAGTTGGCGGTGATCGAGTTGCGTTGGTTATTTGCTTGCGAGAGGCTTCGTGATTGCTGGTTTGGTGGTTGGAGGRGAGGATCGAGGCCCTTTTTGTGGTCGYGATGTGGCATCGCTGCGTGAATGCATTATGTGAGACTGTCTTGGGATCGCTAAGGAGAACAAAGAGAGTGGGATTCACTTCGAAGACATCTGAGACATTGTGGCTGGAATATGTGTCTTATGAGCATCATGGAGCACTACTTGCGACGAGCTTTGTGAGACGATTGACTGGGATTAACGTAAGCTGGGCTGTTCTACCATTTGGATCYGCACGTGTCTCGATGGGCGTACTAGACAACATTTTCGAGAGGGAGTCGCCGGACTAGATCAGTAAACGCCTTTCAAACCTCCTGAACCCTTGACCCTACTGGAATAAAACGTCCGTCCTGCGTTGACGAATGTACGACATCTCAGGCCCCCAATACCAKCACCAATAAAAGTACACGAGCACGCCAATCGCGATGAGACCGAGAAGCACCATCAGACTCCGCATCTTGAGACTGCTGCTTTCTGCATCATGTCTCGCTTTCTCCCACACCGTACTGCGTTCCTCTCGAGCTCTCTGTAGCTCGGCCTCCTGGGCTGTATTTTCCAGTACGTGGGCTTGATTCCGAGTGCGAAGATTATCGACGAGACTGGTGGAGGCTCTCAATTGCTCTCTCAGCCCAGCTACAGATGTGCGAAGACGAGTGCGCTCTGTTGGACGTTCGATTTGTTGTCTCCATGGGAAGTGGGCTTGGTGGTCCGATTCGTTTTCCTGTCTGTGGAGTGGTGTCTCTCGAATGAGAATGGTATCACCATTACTGTCTCTGCTGTTGAAGACAGAAGAAGCGCGCCGTGGAGGGGTGGAGTTGAACATGTCTTCAGCACCATGTCTTGGAAGAGACTCCGATCTCAAGCCAGAGCCACTCTGGTCTTGTATGCCTGTTGTGGTGCTTGAAAGATTGTCGACTGATGCTTGGATATTATCTTCTCCGTAAGAAATACGAATCGTTCTCACTGACGACTCCGGGGGATGTGGCACATGGCTGCTAGATTCAAAACTGGTCAAGGTGGAGATGCCAGAAGATTCAGCACTACTCGAGTGGCCTGATCCGGAAGTATGTAGTCTTCTGGCATGGGAACACCGACGACTTGTTTGAACTCCTTGTAACATCGCTTTTCAATTGAAGAGATCGTTGACTCCCTTGGCGAAAAGGACTTTAAAGCGATCAGATACCAGGATGATGTTCTGGTGCCATCCTGTACTTACGTTACTATAACGATGGTCACGAGCACCACGTAATATTAGGCCATGTCTCAGACAAGCAAACAAGTCTTGTGCTCATTCACTTGCTTCGCCACCAAAACTGTCCAAGTACACAATTGTGGCTGGACATGGCCAAGGGCTGGGGAAATTAGATATTGCCGCCCTACCTATAGCGCTAAAAGATGTCCTCCTCTCTGTGAGGATAATAGTACGGGATAGAAGATGGATTATACAAGAAGTTTGACTCTCCGTAAGGCTACTTCCTGTCTCCTACTCGACCGCTGACGTCTGTCAAGTTTGATCCCTTTCACTTCTGTCTACACTTATTTGTTTCCTATTTTAGCGTTGGACGTAACCCTATAACTGCTTTTTTCTCTCCAAAACTAAACCAGAATTTACTTTGTATATACATAAATAAGACCTAACCTTCTAAACTCCATATTGCGACAAATATAAAAAGAGGGTGCTACCCAAACCCTAACCCTAGACCACGGAGGAGGGCATGAAAAGGAGGCAGGCTACTTCTTTCTATGCTCATATCTACCTATTCGTGAGCAATCATCGTCAATTCACCACAAGCAGAGACGGCAGTCTTCAATTACACCGGCCCTTAGGCCTTGTTTTCATCTGGAGTGAACAGGATAGCGACAGCTTCAAACCCCAGTAAAGATGACCAGATTTCGTTGCAAGTCATCATATAAGCAGTGTGAACGTTATTCAAAAGAATGGCTCCACTCTTCGCACTTGCAAAGACGGTACATACGCAAAAGAACAAATCCTTCTGCAACGAATCCATCGCTTCCGCCAAACACCAACAGACGTCCGTCCATCCACACGCACAAACCAGACCAGACACCAATGTTTCCTATCCAAGACTAGCGCGTCCTTGGCATTCACTCCAAAAATTTCTGAATTTCACACCAAACCCCGCACCACAAAGCTCCGGCCGCAGTACCCAACAATGATATACCCTGTTACCTTGCACAATATCCAATCAAATCCCCTTGCCGGGGTAGCTCAATCGGTAGAGCGTGTGGCTCTTATACAGCAACAACTAGTTGCATATACAGATCACCTCAAGGTCGTGGGTAAGCATACATCGCCAATTCACACATGGTTGGATGTTGTCTAACGTGCAATTCAGGTTCGAGCCCCACCTTCGGCTATTCCTATACAAAGTCAGTGTACAAGATACACAGTGATCTCTTTTTGTTCAGGCAGAGAAACGTTCCCTCAGAGATTTATTTTTTTGTGCGGTTTTTGTTTGTTTTTGATGAGGAATAGTTCCAAGTGGTTCAAGACATGCTTGGAATAACAATAGCAGTAGGACGGACATCCCCGTTCGGTGGATTCATGTATCGATACTCGCATATGCTCGTTGATAGGAMACAATACTGCCATACAGAGAATTCGCGTACCATCTGCAACGGAGAAGGTTGTACCATTATCATACATTCACAAAACCTTAGAAAGCATCGCAACCTTCTTCCTCTGCCCTCTCTTCCAATCCACAATAAAAGTAGCAATACACCTTGCAGCCTTCAACTTCCTCCCAGCCTCCAGCTTCTCAATATCAATCTGCTCCTGCTGGAGATTCCACTTCTCGCGCAACCCATCAATCCACGTATCCCGTGATACCAATTCGTCGCCTAAAATCATCTGGTCGGCATCCATCCTTTCCCACAGATCCTGATTGACGGTTGGGACGTGGAGAAAGTCGTGCGAACTGTCGCAAACTGTAGGCGGGAGCTGTCCATCTTTTAACTTTGTGTGGCACTTTGAACAAAGTTGAACGTCGAGGCAGTTCCTGCAGACGTATGAATTGGAGCTCACGTCGAATTCGTCTCCGCAACCTCCATCGCAGTAGAAACCGTCGAGGTATGGCTCTCGTTTGTTGCTCTGCGTTTCTTGATCGTGGTTATTGACGATTGTCGCCTCCACAGGAACAGTCTCGATGGTGGAACTTTGTGTAGAATGGTCGAGTGGCCTATCCGACACTAAACGGTCGTCATCTGCTCCTGCAATCGCTTGTTCGCTCGAGAGGTCGTCAGTAGCTGCCTGGATACTCGATCTATCATTTACTTTCGGCTTCGTGGCCTGCCAGGCAGCGATTGCATTGATGTCATCGCCAACCACCGTCAACGACGGAGCGACACAAGCATAACGCCCGCGGATCTTGTCCTCATCATCGTCATCCTTGCCCGACCATCCGTCAAATGCATTGCGCAGTCTCTCACGCAGTGTGAGATAGGCTTCTTCTTTGCGACCCTGAATATATTGTATACGAGCAAGTGACAGACGAGGGTCCTTTCCACATTGTCGAAAGACTCGAATGTGATCATGTTCCATGGCCGCCAGTCTGGCGAGACGAGCAGTATGCTTGCACTCAGGTCCCATTTGCGTTTGAGTAGCCATTTCGAACAGCGATCGGAATAGTTTTCGGGCGGAATCGTACGAGACTGACCAGGAATTCATCGCGTCGTTCTGGTTCACTATCAAGTCCTCCCAGATTTCCAATGCTTCGTAATGATCTGTGTCAGATGTTGATCCATAAAAGAGCATGACTCCAAGGACGTAGCGTAGTTGATTCGCTACTTGCTTCGTAACGTCAACGTTTGTGTCGCTTTGTACTGAAGACATTTGGAGTGCCATTCTGTAGGCTTCAATGACCTCTTGATGGCTTGCGGTAGATCGTGCTGCCTCCAAAAGGCAGAGGTGGACGCTGTCCAGCAATAGAATCTTCATAATCCAATGGTACAAGCCTGGCTCGCTGTCGTCTCTCCAGCTCCTGAGAAGGCCCATCACAGAAGCATAGTCCTTCTCCTCGTACCACACCTCAAACATGCTACAGAGAGCTTCCTGATGAGCATCGCCATAGATGTCTTCATGTCGTAGTACGGCCATGTAGCAATCAACAGCAGGCTGAGAGCGCTTGAGATTCTTGTGACATTCGCCCTCTCGCAGAAGCAATCGACCGTGGTACGCTTCGTCGTATGACTCGCGACTGCCATCGTCGTATGCTTCGTCATTGTGGCCACATTCGTCTTTCAGCGCATTGAATTTGCGACAATAGTCGAGAGCAGCTGCATAGTCTTTACGTTCGCAGTACACCTCAGCAAGCTTCAAAGGGAGAGCCCAGTCGGAATAACCATCACGCTCCGCCTGCAGTATGGCAGCGATGCCCTCTTCCGTGAACCCAGATCGGATGTATGTAGCTCCGCGTCGGAATGTCCACTGCGTCGGACTGATGTCGAGATCGGCATTCTCCTGGGCCCACTTGATGAATAAGTCTATCTCTTCGATCGAAGGCAGTGATACACCATCATGGCTTCTGCCATTAGCCTGTATGAAGGATCAGTTACAGTGCGACTCACGTGATTTTGATACTCACTCTCGCTACAATTGCAAATGCAATCGCGAAGTTGTCATCATTGGCCAGATTACGTCCGAACCACCGACCTGCGAGTCTGCTGGCAACTCTAAGCAGTAGTGAATACGCATTGCTTTCGCTCACAGCCTTGTCTCTCAACCAAGCCTCTGCCTCATCCTCGCCCGCGTATCCTTGTGCAACACTGCGATGGCGAACAAACTTCCACAGAGTTTCATGAAATTTTTCATCCCCGAGCAGCCAATCACCTCTGAGCGTTGCCAAGTCGTCGTCGCTCCACCATGCATCGATGGCCACGTTCTCATACAGCAGACTCGCGAATGACGTGCCAATCTCTCGTAGCACGTTCTTCTCATAATCGAAAGTCTCCATATTGTTTAGAACTGTCACAAGATGCTCATAGAACCACACTGCAGCATATCTTCGCAGAGCATAGAATCTCTTGTCATCCTGTCTCTCCGCTAAAGACCTTACGCAGGTTTGGAGGATTGTAAGTTCAAGCACCTCCTCACTGYCGAGACGTATCTTGGACACCTGCCGACCGATATGCCCATTGAAGAAGTCGTCAAATCGGAAGCGCTCGAAATCGTAAGAGCCGCAAGCATTGCGGATGAAGCGGCGACAGAGTTCCACTTCCGCCTCGGCGAGGACCGCTGTGCGATCGATTGAAATGGCATCAGATTCGGCCAAGTCCGCAGACGACAAAATGTCGCGAAGTCCATCCGGTCCAGTTACCACATCCTGGGCGTCTAGTGTAAGTAGGGTGGAGAATCTTGTTCGTATCATTGTTCTCAAGAACAAGGTTTTGCCGAGCGTGAATACCAGTGCACTTTGCAATAGATCTAATTTCGTCCAAGTTCGACAACCTTTCATCCAGCGGAGAAGCTCATTAAGCTGGGCAATGGCTTCTGGGTTTAAAGTCTTGTTAAGTGACTTTATGGTGTTCTGCGTAGTGGATCTGAATCCTTCTCCAGCTCTGGCGATGACTTGTTGTACATCTTCGTAGCAGCTGCATGCACCGATTTGTTTGAGCTTAGATTCCAGATTCTCATAGTGTCCCTTGACACCCGTGACGATGGCTTGAATATCACCCTCCGTGAGCATATTACCAATCTCGGGCTTCAGGTTTCGAAGCTCTTGTACTCGAGCTTGTGCGACAACCATAAGGTCTCCTTGATTGGCGAAGGGTTCAGGGACACCTCCAGCACTAGAGTCGGAGTCAGCATCGCTCGAAGGGTCCGGACCAAGAGAGTAATGATTGACCAGGCTCTCGTCGTCGAATGGGATGCTAGAAATATCGCTCGAGGTCCCTGTAACGAGTATACGCAGAGAGCATCCTTTGGACTCCGACTGTGGCAGGGAAGCCTCCCGTGCCATGCTTGCGAGGATGTCGGAGGGAACGCGATCCTCTCCAGTAGCGAATCCATCAATACACAAGAAGCATCTTCCTTGCTGAATCGTGCTTTGAAGCGTGGCGAGGAAAAGGTCCCACAGACTGGAAGCCGTTGCAATCTTGGCAGACTGCTCACACGCCTCCACAATAGCAGTCGCAAATTTGCCAGTCTCATCAAGGGAGGCAAGCTGATAGATCATGGCGCCAAGACATCTGCGAAGACTGTCCTCCTTCTCGGCCTCACCAAAGTAGTAATAAAGCACATAGGTCCGATCCTGAGTCTTGTTGCGAGGATATCGCTCCTCGAGATTAGTTATAACTTGACTGAAGAGATAAGACTTGCCAAAACCGCTCTCCCCACGCACGACCATGACTTTATTAGAGTGCACACTGAGAGTATCAGCCCAGCTCCGATAGGCAAGATCTTGCTGGAGAAGCCAGAGCGCGGTGCCTTCAGTCCTGTTCCCACAGATTGTGTACTGACGCTTCGACCACGACTCTGAGGTTTCTTCCAATTGGAGTGCATCACGTATCTTCTTGAGGAATGCTTTCAGTTGATCCTTTGAGAATCGCGAGTCCAGACGTTTGCCAAGATTCTGAATGCCCTCAGCGCTGTGCTCCAGGAGTCCCTCGGTGCGTTCAAAATATTCTTTGAGTTCGCCATGCCGGCGCTGAGTCTCCTCCGCGGACTCACGCATATATCTCGCCAGTCCCTTGACATCGACCAAGATTTGGTCTATCTCGGAATTGGWGAAGGTCAGCACCAGAGCTTCCATCTGGCGTAAAGATTCACTGACACCCGCATCGTCATTGAACAAGACTATGTTCAACACAAGCTTGAACTTCTCGCGCTTCCGCGTGGCTAGAACATGAGAAGATTTGAGAAGCTCTAAGAAGTGTCTCAAGATGGCGTATGCGGGACCGCGAAGGTGAGGATCCAGATACGGTCCTGTTTTGTGTTGGTTGAGAAAGAAGTTCAGTCTTTTTAGAAAAGCCAGGGAATATTCCATCAAGGCTTCAAAGCCCTCAAAGACCCCCCGATATGATTGGGCAGCGGTTATAACAAAGCTAATAGCATTCCAACATTGTGTGGATGGCCCAAACACAACACTCGTTGCCTGTGCCACAATATCACCGAATTGCTGGAGACATCTGCCAACATCAGCGATGATCTTCCGAGCTCGCGTACCATTTCTGGACTGGCTCTTCCGGATGTCTAGATCGATTTGCTGAGAGATGGCATCAAAGTTGGCGTTTGGATCGAGTTTCTTTCCAGTGACTTTCTCGAACTCTGCAACGACCTGTGGCCAAGCTTCTTGCAGATCCTGTTCTTCATTGATGTTGAGGGTGGTGGTCATAATGCCGCATCTCGTAAGTTACTGTGAGTCGGGAACGAAACAAGAGCCAAGGAGATGGAAAGCATTATGGCGTTGGAGGATACGTTGAAGGATTCATATTCAGCCGCAGCTGACAGACCAAGCGAGCGGCTGGCGCCTGCCATAGGCGGGCGAAGAGGAACTTATTGGCGGATCCACCGTGCTACCAGGCCTGGCACAAGCATGGCGTCCTGGCGGCTTCTGCGCGCTCTGCACCGCCTCGCATACTGTATGCCTAGCGTCATCTAACGTAAGGTAAGCCGGTCAGCACCTGATCATCAATAMTACCGTGAGGTCAGTTTAAGGAAGGTGTTGTCTGTCCATCAAGGTCGAATTGCGTGATGCTGCCGCTGGAATCTCAGTCGCTGATTGGCTGGATATCTCCTCAAGGTTAGAGCGCCATTATGAGGGCATCTCTCTCGCATCGCCCTCTTCTCCTTCTCATCATCATCATCAATTATATTCATTATCATGATGGTACCCTGGGTCGAACGGAAGCTCGATCACTGTTTCCACACGCCCGAGACAACGATGTGCCGATCCGGCAAGCCCCTCGAAGATCTAGACCTGTCACAGCTCACTGGAGCTTGCATGTTAGTCCGGTTCGAGCAAATTCCCTGGTTGTCACTACGATTTCTTTTGAGGGGTAATGCATGGACAGAAGAGCAAAGCTGACAAAAAATGTGGATTCAAACATAAGTATCAGCTTTTGTACCTTGAATTTCCTTCCCATTCAAATCACTTCATACATTTCATACATTTTCAAGCAAAACCCTCAAACTCTTTTCAATCCCCCAAAAATGCCTTCCGGATCGTGTCTGTGTGGCCAGGTGGGCTACGAATACACTGGAGAGCCAGCCGTCACTGCTCTCTGCCACTGTACGCAAGACCAAGACGCTTAAATGCATTCTCAGAACTCGCTCACACATATAACAGGCACGGATTGCCAAAAGTGGACCGGAGCCGCATACACAAGCAACGCCGTAGTTCCACGCACAAGCTTCAAAGTCACCAAGGGTTCTCCAAAGGACTACGATGCCGTCGGAGCCAGCGGCAAGATCAATAAGCACTGGGTAAATAATAAATCTTCCACTTAGCTTCTTCGTCGGAAGAACCTAGCCAGATAATGCTAACTAACTCCAAATTGACAGTTCTGTGGAACCTGCGGTAGTAGTCTCTACACCGAATTGGAGGTCATGCCAGATATGACTTGTGTCAAGACTGGAAGTCTTGATGGCGGTGCTGCGGATCACAAGATTGCTGTGGAATTCTATAACCGTGATCGTCTGAGTTACACGAAGCCGGTTGAGGGCGCCGATCAGAAGGCGGAATTCTCGTAGAGTTTTGTCAGCTAGCAGGGCTGGCGATGAAGGAAATCACAAGCTTCGTTTGTGTGCTTCCCTCATATTCTGTCTGGGCAGTAACGCATCCTCAATTTTCATCAGTCGCCGCGTTCAATGCGCAAGGGCATCTTAGGTGAATGTGCGAGAGACGGAAACGTTGTACTGACCATGGCAGCCTCCACCATTTGGGAGTCATATATGGCCATCCAGCAACCCTCCACTCGGAAGCCTGAAGGTCACTCACCATTTCGAGAACCAACCACAAACCAACACCTACAAGACTTCACTCAACATCAATTCACCCACCCATTCATGACATTTTCCATTTCCAATGCACTCCATGCAATACCATACATATACACTCATACGATCCCAGCGTAACTTCGATATAATAACCCTCTCTTTACCTCACTTCCTCCCACTAGCAGGCATCTCTCCAYGCCTACCTCTCTCCCTTGTCGTGTCATAAGCCTGCAACACTCTGGCCTGACTCTCGTCTGTCTGCGAGAAAGCGTACCCGCGCTGTTTCCGCATGCGTTGCACTTGTCTGACTTTTCGAATGGCCTTTTGGAATTGTTCCATTCTRTACACCAGTACGTTAGCATAAATCTCTTCCACAGGCAACTCAGTTCACATCGCTCTGCAACATACCTCGGCCTGTAATCCTGAATATTATACTTCTGAATCTCCTGCACATGATGGTAACTCTCCGGTCTAAACATCCTCTTGAAGTACTTCCACGCCAAATCTCTCACCAGACAAATCGCCGGCAGCACAATCATCATGAGCCAGAACTTTGGATCCGTGAGCAAGACTCCCAACAAGTTCGTATACTCTGTTGAGAATCCCAGCTTAGGAGCCACGGTTGCGTAGGCTGGTAGGAAGATGAACCATACAGCCAGTGATCCAGGGATGGCGATGACGGTGTACTTTGTCCATATGTTCGTGATGAGCGCTGCTTTACCAAGGACGGTTACGAGGCCGGCGGTATAGAGTGAGGTACCCCAGACCCAGTGTCCAGACGTCTTACCATCGCTCATCGGGGAATCGTTCCAGTAGATCAGTTCGGAGATCCAGTACAACAGCAGAGAATGGTAGAAACCGTTCCCGACCCAACTCCAGAAATTATGCGTCCGGAAAAAGACGCCTTTCTGAGACAGTTGGTAGAGTTGAGGGTACCGATCTAGCATACGGGCAGAGATGAATTGGTCGAAGATTCCGAGGACAAAGGGAGGCATGGCGGTGAAGACGACGTTGAAGAAGGAGAGTGTCCATGATTCGTAGATGACTTGGCCGGAGAAGGCGTTTTGGAAGGAGTACCTGGTTTTGTCAGTATTTTCAGTGCTTTGGTGGTGTGTTTTAGACGTACCAAAACTGTGTAATGAACAGAGCGGTGTTCTTGTAGTAGAAGTACAGGATGACTTTTGATATTCGCTGGTAACTCCAACTTCCATGCACGAGCAATAGTTTTCGGAGGAAGCGAAACTGGGCGATGCTCACATCTGCGGATCTTGCAGCTTGGAGGCCCTCGACACCTGATATACCGATACCGATGTGAGCGGCTTGGATCATGGAAACGTCATTGGCTCCGTCGCCAATGGCTAGCAAGATACACTTGAGATGCCTCTTGACCAGCTTGACGACCAGGGCTTTCTGGAGAGGCGAGACACGACAGCAGATGACAGCTTTGCACATCACTGCGAGATCAAGAAACTGCTTCTCCAAGTCCTTCTCCAATGCGTATGTGAGAGACTTGCCGTCAATGACCAATGCCAGCGTGTCCATTTCTGCATTTCCAGCGCGCTGGGTTCGAATGGCTTCAAGTTTCTTCTCGATATTCGCTCTTGTAGCTGGGGCATTCTCCTCGTTCACGATAAGCAACGTCATATCTTCAGAGATCAGTTTGCAGGACATTCCAATGTTGATGGCTGTCTCCTGGCGATCTCCCGTCAACACCCAGACTTTGATACCAGCACTCTGCAACGTATGAATTGTGTCTGGAACGCCGTCTTGGAGCTTGTCTTCGATCGCTGTAGCTCCGAGGAGAGTAAAGTCGTGTTCAATTAGTTCGGCTGCCTTGTCCAATTCGTCCGCACGATTGCCAGAGACTGTCGTCTGGGCTGTGTTGAAGACGTCCCACCACTCTCTAAACTCTGCCTCAGGAACCTCGCGGAAAGCGAGGCAGAGAGTTCGTAGACCTTCTGCGGCATACTCTTCCAGATGAAGGAGCGTCCGCTCGACCATTTCACTTCGCTCAGCCAAACGCTCCAGAATCACAGTGTCGGCGCCCTTTGTGAAGCAACGGATCTTGCCATCAGGGCAGCGGTAGATACAGCTCATCCGCTTTCGTGTAGAGTTGAACTCACAGACGGCGAGAAGTTCGTAGTCGTATTGTTCTCCACTGACCTCGATCGTGACAAGCTTGGGTTTACGTGCGACGAATTTGTAGCCCAGCTCCACAGCACCTTCCACAAGGGCGCCCTCATCAGGAGAGGCTGCTTGGTACTTGATGATGCCAGGCTTCTCAGAGTTGACCTCGGGAATGACAGTATGGCAGGTAGACAGCAAGCTGAGGAACTGGTGAATCGCCTCGGCGTTCTGACCACCTCGTCGATGTCTCTCCATAGCCTTGAAGTCGAAGATACCATTTCCACTCTCATCCTCGTCGATGATACGGCGATCTTCGGGGACTTCTCCAGAATACTGCAGACCTCCAATACTAGCCTGACGGAACTCCATCATATTGCAAGTCAGCGTGCCGGTCTTGTCAGAGAAAATGTATTCCACCTGTCCCAGCTCCTCCACGAGAGAACTGGTTCTGCAATTCGCCGGTGTGTCGGTTTCGGGATAGTAGATGTCCAAATCACTGCTGATGAGAAAGGCTTGGTAGTACTTGATGATCTCGACTGTGACKAAGAGTGAGATGGGCACCAAGTTGGAGTACAGGATCCAATATGTGAAGACGTCGCTGAAGAATTGCTGGGCTGCGTTGGATGATTGGTAGTCCAGAAACCATAGACCATCGCCAATGGTGTGTCGGACAACCAGATCTCCGATCGAAGAAATGATGGACAAGGCCACCAGAACAATGCCTAGCATGAGAATTTGGATGTTCACTCTCCGCTCGACGTTGGTTCGTTTGATGGGTGTTGCGGTGGCGTTACGCATGAGCTTTGTTTCGTGGCCGGTGAAGACTACCAGACCGTAGATGAAGGGTGTGTTTCGGAGCGTCGCGCCACGGAGAAGTAGCTGGTCGGGAGCGAGAGGAAGAACACGCTCGCCTCCACCAGATTGCATGGTCAATGTGGCTTCGTAGGTGTAGAGACTGCTGTTGGGCTGTTCACTCTTCACCCTGCCTCCGAGACGAGCCATTTCAGCGGCGGAGACCATATTGCAAGTCTCGGGAATAGCCTGTTTAATTTTGAGATTGGTCTCTCCATCGAGGTTGGCAGTCTCAATATAGCACAGTCCTTCAGGTTCTGAGGATGCCATCAAAACTAGATCGGCCGGGAACGGCTGCTCAGATTCCACCTTCAAGACATCACCCACTTGGACATCAATCCATCTGATATCTTGGAAGGATGTGCCTCGCAGTGCTTGGGCCTTGCTCCTGTTCAATTCATTGTCCTGACTTCTTCGCCGTTGATCTTCAACAATCTCCTTGCCGGCCGATACCAGCAAAACAATTCCCAAAGGTACAATCGTGGTGTATCGATTTGTCGGACTAATGTTTGGAATCTGTTGGAGGATGGCAGTGAACAAGAAGAACAAGTTGGCATATCTGCTAAACTGTTCGAAGAGGAACTTGGGCAGGAAGGTGATGACATTGTACTTTGTGGTGGAGACGTGGTTGTCGCAGTACTTGTTGGCAGCATTCGCGGGTGGGTTGTTGAGATGAATGATGCGAGGGCCGAGCGTAGAGGGATCGACCTTTCCTCGCCCGGGCAGGCCAAACTTGAACTTTGAGCCTGGCGTTTTGCGCTCTGCTGGTTGTGCTTCGGGGAAAGTGTCTGTAGAGCCCACTGCTTGGTGTCCCCGTGTTTCCGTCAGAGGCAGGTCCATTTCACTGTATTCCGGTCCCATGCCCAGCATATTCTTCGCACGGCCCATGATCCCACCACCCAAGCTCATGATGCTGTTGCGATTCCGATGTCTGCTGGATCCATGACGGATGGGAGCGCCCTGGATGTTGTCCTCATCAATTCCACCCCCCGCAGCATAGTAACCACCTTGGATTGAGGCCGTGTCAGAGAAGCGATCGTTGTCCACGTCCGAATAGCGCTGGTAGTTGTTGAGGCCCGAGGTTTGCGAGAGATTCCGTCCAGCATCTCCCAGCACTGGCGGACGTTGGAGGGGATAGCCAGGTCCACCTGGAAGTTGTGATTGTGATTGTGATTGCCCACCAACGAAGTTGTCGTGGGAGACGCTGATTCTCGGTGGAGCAGGAGTATCGGAGCTGTCAATGTCGTAGTCGTGGAGGATGCGGTCGTCGGATACGGGAGGTCTGCTGCCGGAATGGTATTGGTATGAAGATCGGTCATTGTCGTCGTCGAGGTCCACCAAGTCGTGATCATGCCCATTTCCACTCAGGTTCGAAGGCGCTCTGCCCGCCATGGTGGGATTGGCGAGCGGAKCGGATCACTTTCCTTTGCGGCTGGCCACTGCTCACCCTTCACCGCAGGAAATGTGCGACCATTGAGGGGAAGAGGATTGGTGGATTCTTCGAGGGGTTTCGCGATGATTTGTCGCAATCGTGATCGTCGTGAATTGTTATTATTGGTGCTATGTCCGTGGTCGGTGGGGTGAATGTATCTCTTCCTCTCCCTTTCCAACACGTCGCGTGAGTATTTCCAGCTGAATACGAGGCCCGTCCGTCCAATGTCGCGAGGCTGTGTGACCTCCAACGCCAGCCAACTATAACGAAGCGCTGCGGCCATACCCGTTCGTCGTCAGCCTCTCCCGCCAGACCCTGAGCTTTCAGTGGWGCTTTCTCCATGTGCTCGGCCATGGCAGGGCATCACGTCAAGCCGTTTGATCGTCACAGCCAACCTCACCTTGCACATCCACCTACATTAATTCATTATTCACACATACCTACAGCCATGTCGCCCCTCCTCCGTAAGAAAGTGACGTTCCCACGCACGTCATTCGCCCTACATCACCAACATCGTACTTTCCTCGGATTACAGCATACTCCCGCCCCCAAACCTCACATGATGGGATTACTGGTGTTGCAGGGCTTGGCCGTTGTGTTGATTGGAGACTTTGCTTTTGCAACGCTGTTGGGACAGAAGACTGTTGTGAGAGAGGTGGCGCAGAGTGCGGGACTGTGGGCGGACCCAAAGGCGTTTGAGGAGGTGCATGGGCGAGAGTGAGAGACATTCATTCTTGAAGGGGCGACATCAAGAGTGACAAGGTCGCCGGGCTTTGAAAGTATAAGGGAAGATCATGTTGTCAGGGAAGGACGTATTGGCGAATGGATACCATGGAGTCCTGAGGATCCCGACGCTTGACGCCATTGTGAGGCGGTAGGCGGAAGTCGAGGACGATGCTGATACTGGCTGCTCCCTTGTCACAAGATGGATGGTGGAAACGGAGAGCGGAAGGCAGAATGCGGGATGTACCCGTTTGTTATGACCATTCAGAGCTTCGCTTCCAGCTTTGCTTCGCTTCCACCGCACCAACACACCGACCCCGTACATCCACTCACAGATCCGAATGCTCCCTCTAGTCCACATCTTCCCTCAACGGCTCACGTTGGTCAATCGAGGTCATTATCGTCCGTCAGATAAGACCCGAGATCATCACAGCCGCACTTTGCTTCGCGCGCGCGCTACCACCAGCTTCTGACTTTGCGCCCACAATCAGCGGTACCTCGTCGCATCTGCCCACCACCAAGTACAAACCACGCGCCTAACATGGAGGGTTCAATCGAGAATCCTGTGCTCGAAAGCACTGTGCTACTCGAACAGAACGATCCGATAGTGCCGACCAGTGCTTCCTCAAAAGTCCTCAACACCACAGAGCTCCTCGAACATATCATGGCCTACTTGCCCATGAACGGCATCACTGAGGCCCGGCAAGTCAACCGCTTCTTCCGCATTGTTGTCGACACATCGAAGCCGCTACGTCGACCCATGATTCGGGTCTTCGGCCACGGAAAGCTGCTTGAGCATATCTTAAGCCAGAACTTGTCAGCCGCCGAGGTCACTCGCGCTCGCCGTGTGTGCCAATTCTTTGGCGCCACCATCGATTCATCGAGGACCTTGCGTAAAGTCATGTTTCTCGAGCCCGAGAGACTGTCCGAAACGCTCACCTTGGAAATGTTTACAAATCAATTGACAGTCACCAAGCTTCACCCATTCATCAACCGGATGGGTATTACCGAACTTGACCTTCAACACGCAGAGACCTTTGCTATCAGTCCGAACTTCTCGCCTTGGAAGTTGGCAACTTGGCGGTCTATGCTTGTTTGTCAGCCACCTTGCGACGGTTTCAAGGTATACTATCTCGAGACGGGAAGTCACGTGAGTGAGATACGCGAGGTCAAGGGCAACACACTTGGGGCCCTGCTGGAAGACGTTGAATCGCGACCCACAGACACGCGTCTGATCGGGCTATGCATTTCTGGTTTTATACTCGAAAGTCATCCGATGGTCGCGGCCGAACGCCATCGAGCCGCTCAAATGGCGGCGAGGAAGCGTCGAGAGGATCGACGGGCGGCGTGGCAGCTCGCACGAGACGCAAATGAGGCAGGGAGACTGCGCAAGGAGGCGGAGAGGCAGCTCAAGCAAGCTACTCGGGAGGCGAAGAGGCAATACAGAGAGGCTGAGATGAAGCGGATGCAGCACGCACGGGAAACAAACAGAGCGTCTAGGGTATGTGCTAAGGAGCGGAGGCTGGCGAGGAGATTGGCGGCACGCGGCGATGACATGTGCGGTCAATGAGATGTACGGAACGAGATATCAAAGGCCATACGCGTTGCACTGCGCAGGAGTGGAGCGGCCTTTTATGTGGGGAAGCGACGGACCAAGCGACGGCCCACGGAATGGTCGTGYTGAAGAGTGAGCCATCGAGGGACACGGTGTTGTTGACTTAAGATTGCTCACTGCTTGAAAATGGAGAATTTGCGGATTCAATGATTATTTCGGACTCTTTCTGGATCCCGTTGTTCCGGTCTCATTCTCATTCTCATTATGAATCGTCATCCAATGTTAACGCTCTGGAGCAAGTGAAAAAGTTGGAAGCGATGCGATTATTCACCTCCTGCCCAAATCAAACTTTAAACTTGTGGCTCGAGCTCGTTGAGCTTACCGAACAAACACCACTTTCACCGCGAAGCACTCCGACGACGAAATCTCGCATCTCCCTCGCACGCTACCAACACTTCTCACTGCCAACCCTGTACCTCAAAGCTACGGAGGCCATCTCGCTTGCTGACTACATTGACGCGCGCACGAGGGAAAGCGCGTCGTTTATCAATCCGCGCATCAGAATTGCTGCCATCGGCCTGCATGTGTCTCCTCACTTGCTCACCAACAATCCGTTCAGCTGTGACCACTATCCTCGATCACAACTGCTCGACACCGYGCTTGCGAATTTGACTAGTTCAAAGAGCTGCCTTCGACACGATCAGACTCTCATCGGAAGCCATCCCGGTCGGWTCCGCTGTCCTCGCCGCCCCTACAATCACTGCCATCACTGCCATCACTGCCATCTCTCATCACTCCCAACATGACCTCAAGCTGTGACGCTCCGGCTCTCGGCAATGCTGCCAATCTAGGCGGTACCGCTGCCGCTCGAGTTCTAGACACTGTCGAACTCCTCGAAAACATCCTTCTGCAAGATCTTCCTATGAAGAGTATTGCTCGAGCCCGCCAGGTCAATACCTTCTTCTGCGCTGTCATCGACAACTCCAAGCCCTTGCAGCGTGCCCTCTTCTTGATGCCGGAGCTCCCCAAAGAGACTCACGTCGACATGGACGGCACACCCAAATCGGTCACTAGAGTCAATCCAGCCATCATTAAGTTGGACCATCACGGTGAAGTGAAGACAGGGCGTTTCTACATCGACGGCGACATGCTCCGTCGCTGGAACTCTGACCTTGCATGCGAAACTTGGAAATCCATGCTCATTTGTCAGCCGCCTGCTTCTATCAACAAACTGCATTTGTTTGAATTAATCACCAAATCACAAAAGACAGGTGAATTTTATATTACCTTCTTGAGCGGCAGCACACTTGGCGATCTAGTCGCCAAATTACGATTTATAAATAATCTGGGTGCGATGAGATGGGCATCAGATTGGGGATCAGATTCGAAATCTGTGTGCCGCGTTCTAATCAGTGATGCTGGTTAGAGACACGAGGTTGGTAAACGAGGGGGCTACCAAGGATGTGGTGGAGGCGAATGGCGATGATCAAGTCAGAGGATCGAGCGGAAAGGAGGGTGAGAAGGCTAGCGATGCTCAGTACTAGCAGAGAGAAGCGTGGTTGTGCACATTCTGGCCTCCGCCAAGTGCTGCATAGTTGATGGGGATGTAACGATTGAGGGCAAGCGGTACCCAAGGTCGGATATCGATAGCAGCCTGAGAACGAGAGCAGCATGTCTACTTGCCTGCTATCCTCTAGATGTAACGATATGACGGGAGTGATCGAGCAGGTTGGGTTTGAGGTTTGAATCAGGACCTTCGTTGCCGATGTAATTGTGCAGGGTTTTGTGTTACTCCCAGATAAGAAGCGAGAAAGTTTTGGCTGTAATCCAGGATTAGGCACATTCTGTCGGCCATTCCCTTCACCAACGAATAAATGGGTCTGGAAAAGCTGCGAGTAATTACAGCAGACATGGGACATACTATTCAGTTGCACATACCAAATGTATCGTGCGGAACAACCCGATCAAAAAAATCCCCCTTGGACGATACTCGCGCGACAGATTCAAGATGTCGATTATCTCAGTAGAATATGCTGCGCTTCCAAGGTTCTTCTCTAACAGAATCTCTCCACTTCCAGGCTGGCAAGCGTAAAGGCACTGGTGCCGATCAGACTATTCAGCACAGTCGGCCTGGTAACGTAGTACTGCTATCATCAGCAATCTTGTAGACCCACACAACAGCGTAGGGCACTTACCGTATAATCCACATCCCCTGAGAGACTTGCCACCGCACTCGTTCCATTCAAGCTTGTGGTACCGTTCCCGTTATCTATCCAGAACTTGTCTAGAACATTCTTGTAAATCCCGAGTCCAGTCACTTTCGCCCGGCTCTCAAGCTCCTCATCATCGATGAGACCCAATCTGACGGCCTTGAGGAGCGAGTACGAAATCATACAGCTAGCACTAGCTTCGACGAAGTTCCTCTTCCCGGCAAAAGTGGCCCCTGGTTGATCTACAATCTKCCAGACGCCGTAGCTTCCTTCAATGCTAAGACTACGGTCACTGGCTCTCAAGTGCGCCCGCACGAGGTCGTCGAGCATGGCCTTCATAGTGGTTGTCGTAGCATCCGATGCGTTCTGCAATAGTTCCAGACTTTCCAATAATCCAACCGTGTACCACGACAGAGCTCTCGCCCAGACTGCAGGGCTGGCGCCAGTTTTAGGATTTGCCCATTTGTGGTCTTTGCTGGCATCATAGCCATGCACGAGCGTACCGTCCTGTCTTCKGGTGATGTTTCGCAAGATCTCAAGTTGCTTTAGAGCAGCTGTAGGCCCAGAGTCCTCGCCGGCGTGATCGAAAGCTGGATCGGCTGATAGAATCGCAAAAGTCGGGTAAGAGTACATGCCATCAGTGTATGAGAGGTTGAGATATGCCGTAAGGTTACTGGGGTTGGCGTAATACCACAGTCCTCCATTGTCATTTCTTGGCTGCTCGGTTACGGATTCTGAAAGTGCACCGATGGTCGGGAGGAAGGCCTCGTTCCCTGTAGCGTGATATTGGTGAATCATGTTTGCCCCAATGGAGAGTCGATCTAGCGGGAGTCCTGTGTTATTGGAGACGTCCGAGAGGTCGTCGACCACACTCATAAGGCTTTCCTGAAGGTACGCTTCCCACTTGCCCCTCTGGGCTGTATCGTTAGTGTAGGCAATGCTTGCACGGAGTGACTGCTGGAAGATGCCCAGCTCGATGAACTTTGTGACCGCAGCGGTCGTGCCGATTCCTTGCCCTCTAGCGATGTTACTGTCGAGCATGTTCGCTGCAAAGCCATCGATGTTGATGAGACCATTGATGTTGCTCGGACACTCTATCCGCTGTGCGGCGATGATATTAGCTCCGAGTAGGAGCGAAAGCAGTGTCCCCGTGGGTTGTTTCATGTTTCGTCGCTACAAAGAGAGAGGGGGAGAGAGGTGCTTATTTCTTGCCGTTGAATCTCTTGGAGAGGTGACAAGAATCGGGCGAAGTTTCGGCAATGCCAAAGCGATGCAGGGCACATGCAAGGGCCAGTGAAATTGAAGATTGCCGTTCCTTGTAGTGAATCGACGACAACGCTCACGAATAGGTAGCTGCAAGCACAAAGCAGCAGCCTTGCGGAGAGTGAGATGTGGGGGATCGAATGTCCTACCTGTTAATGTCTTCTTGATCGTGCTGCCGTCGTTGTAGGAAACACAAGATCTTTGCCTGCAACCTTCAATTTCACCGGCCCTCGGACGTAAATAGATGCAAATGCCTGCTAGCGTAGAGTCTAAATTTTGGTTACATTGCGTCACCGCAAACATCTCAGCGTTTACCATATTATCGGGAYATCAACTTTCACGACAGCCCATCGAGACGGATGAGAGCCGCGCGCCAAATTGCTCGCTCTGCACAGATACTTAGGCACATCAGCATGTCGTCACAAGCACCCACCATCCGCCGGATCAGTCCGCTCCCTACTGAAGAGGCGAAATGGACGGAGCTGCGCAAGATTGAATGGACTGACCAAGATGGCAAAGATCGCATTTGGGAAGCCGCCGCACGCAAGACCCGTGGCAAAGGCGGAGTTGATGCCGTCGCCATTATCCCCATCCTGCGTCACCCGTCTCGCCCCGCGTCAACCATGATCATTCTTCAGTATCGTCCACCAGTCGAGGCTGTCTGCGTCGAGTTCCCAGCCGGTCTCATCGATGAGGGTGAGACCCCAGAGCAGGCTGCAGTTCGTGAGCTCAAGGAGGAGACTGGTTATGAGGGCAAGGTTTGTAGCCATAGCCCTTCGCTTCCTTGTCAACCCGGGTTGACCAACGCATTTATGCAGGTACTTGATTGCAGCCCGACGATTGTTGCCGACCCTGGCCTGACGAATGCGAACATGCAGGTATGTTTTACAGTTCCTACGACGAGCGAAGGGTACTGCTAACTCTGAAAGATGGTCGTCATCGAGGTCGATCTCAAGGAGGGCGACAAGGAGCCAGAGCAGCACCTGGAAGCCGGCGAACACATCGAGAGGGTCATTGTCCCACTCAGTGAGCTCCACGACAAACTTCAAGGTAAGTCGCTATTTCTGCTATGGTCAGTCTTGTGCCAACGACCACAGGGTACTCGAATGAACAGGGAAAGATTGTCGATGCGAGGTGAGTGCCACGAACGAGCATCATTACGTGACGTCGACTGATCATAACCCTCAGACTGTTCCATTGGGCACATGGCTTGCATTCAAGCACGCGCCTCGGACTCAAGGGCTGACTGCTCACCTGATCAGAATTCGACGCACGAGGATTCACTACCGACATCTATGTTGCCTTCATGGCAAGCGGTTGGTACTGGGGACAGAAGCTGGCATCCGAGCAGTCTAGTGGATCGGTGTCAAGCTAGATTTACTGATGGCACCGAATGCTCGCGAGATGACKAGCAAATTAGAAACGAATTGACGCAGACTTGCCCAGTCGGTACTCGAGGTTCTTCCAAGTCTCACGGCAATAGACAATCGCATTCCACACCTGACGTTGAAATGTCTTTGCACTGCAATCCAGAGTGTCAAAGATCAGGCCCATCGCGGAAGAGAATCGATGGTCATTGGTCTAAATTCTCCTGGCACGATCGATCGGTCACCCATCCCGTGGCTCACTGGGAACGCTGACTTGWACGACATGCTGTATGGAATACAGCGACCTATATCCCGCTCTTAAAAATTCCAGGCCACGGTTTGTACAAAACGTAACACTTTCCATCAACGCAACGCACATCTCCAACATCCTCAAATTCATCGCTCAGACTTCTCTGCACAATTCCCATCGCCGACCATCGTCAGTCATCGATCCCAGTCAGCGCATACTTCCCAACTCCCTATCAACGCAACCATGTGTGAAAAAACAACCACCATCTACCGATGTGGCCACGACTACTCCAGGAAGAAAGCCTGTCAGAAGCGTAGATGCTCCGGTACCAAACGCTATACAGAACTGCGGAGCAGAATCTGCTATCAGTGTGAGAAGCGAGAAATTGCCGCAAAGGAGGCGCGGCGAAGAGCGTTGCAGAATGCGGAGGAGGTTGGGCATGGTCGGAGAGCTCGACCCAGGAGACGATCGAGTTGGTGGTGTTGAGCACAGGATGTGATTTCGAATGGCAGTATTACTTGAGCGCTGATTGCAACGGTAAATCGAGCTTGATATTTGTGGAGATTTAGTGTATTTTGTATGTGATTCAGATCTGGGCACGTAACAGCAACTGTTTCCAGCAGACAAAGTCACGCTCGTAATATAACACGATGTAAATAAATTACATGCTTTTGAGTGTCTGACCGGCGCTGCCCAAACCACGAGACTGGGAAGTACTCGGAGGATGTCACCCGCACATTTTGTATCGCTGCAATGATCATTCTCCATGAGATCGACTGGTTACACACAACCCAACTCGATGAGCCATGCCTACGTCCAGCGATCTAAATCAGGGTCTTGATGCCAATGATATGGGAGAAGGAAATTTATTGCGCAATCACATTGAATGTATACAATGTGTGTGACTATGAGCTGTTCTACGGCCGCCGTATTGAAACAATTTTCAGGGGTGCTGCGGAAGCATAGAACAACGATGTCTGCTCCCTGATCGATTTCGGCTGGAAGTCAATCTCGTCAAAGGAGAACTTGTTACGTGCTATAAATTTCATGTCAGCAAGGGATAACTGATGTACATGCGACGGTAGTACTCACAACAAGCATATTGGAAAGCCTCAAAAGTCTCCGGATTCCGCACCGCGCCCGAGATCACAACATGCAAACCAGGCCGCATGTCGAAGAGGAATCGTAAAGTCGCAACTAGAGCAGAGATGGCTACTTTATCGTACGTCTGGATCATGTCAGCTAGGAATCGCTACAACAAGGGTATGACTCTTACGATGTCAGCACCAATGACCACATCATAGGGGAATGCCTCGCAATCCTCTTCTACCCATGTCCCTTGCAGAACCATTCCCCATCGAAGCACACTGGAGATCACTTTCTGCTCATCATCAAGGCCGTTAAGGAACAGGTTTTCCCTCAATGCCTCCACGACACCTTCGTCTCCATCTGTAGTCGTGACATGGCTAGCGTTGAGGAATTTTGCCGCAAGAATAGCCAGAAGTCCAGTCCCAGCACCGAGTTCAAGAACACTCTTCCCTTCGATGATACTACGTCCTTCTGGTGTGAGCAGATACGATCCCAAATGCAGCGCCGCCTCCCAGGTTCGAAATCCTGTGGTGAGTGCACCCGAGATGAGATGCCTTCGTTCCAAAATGGTGATGGTGGGCTCTTCACGATAATCTAGATCCGGATCCGGCACAGGCGGGAGACAGGTGAATGTCACATACGACTTTTGTTGCACGGCTGTAGTCTCAGACGGAAGATTGGCAGACATGAGATGGGAAAGATGTGACATGAGATCGTCTGAAATTTCCTACCGGAGTGAATAGAAGTAAGCAGAATAGGACGGAAAGAAGATCAGATGAAAAGACTTGAGAAATGGTCGGCACCTACATCCTCTTCGGGATCTTCGATCGCCTTTTCGATTTTGGAAGCCAGTGGCTTCAGGACGCGCAACTGGTATCGCTCGGGCGGCATCCTAGAGTTCTTCTCGCTATCAAAGAGATGTGTGTATATCCATGCCTGCACGGTTGGATCTCTCAATAGCTGCTTAGGCGGCCAAGCAAGGAAATCTGGTTCGAAGAGCTGAAAGTACTGCCTGCGAAAGAGCAGCAGTTGAGGATCCATCATGTGCTGCAAGATGTAATGATGAAGATGGGTAGTTGAGATGGAAAGAGGATGCTGGAGGAAAGTGAGGTGCCAAGCGACGCCAGCGCTAGTCAGGATTCGCTTGCACAAATGAGAATTGCACCACGACACCTCCGGCAAACTTCGCCAGGCGACGCTCGCAACTTGATATCCTCCATCAACACCGCAATAATGGCCGACGCCCAGGTTACGCTGCGCACGCGCAAGTTCATCCGCAACCCACTGCTGGGACGCAAGCAGATGGTCGTGTGCGTATTTCCCCAGATCAATCCACAGATCCATCGACATCTTGCAAATTCCGCGCGCGCGCAAGGTATCATAAGAACCGCATACTAACATGAATGCCTCCCACAGTGACGTTCTCCACCCATCGCGCCCAAACGTGTCCAAGGATGAGCTCCGCGAGAAGCTGTCGCAGCTCTACAAGACCTCCAAGGACCAGGTCTCCGTCTTCGGTTTCCGCACCCAATTCGGTGGCGGCAAGTCCACCGGCTTCGCCCTCCTCTAYGACTCCGCCGAGGCCATGAAGAAGTTCGAGCCACACTACAGACTCGTGCGGTACGGACAGGCAACCAAGATCGAGAAGGCCAGCAGACAGCAACGTGAGTCCTACCGAGGGTGGCAAAAAATGGGGAGGGCACACATGGATACCACAATCGAGATTCGCTTGGAATCCACACTTTCACATTTCAATGCTGACGGTGCGATTCAACATAGGCAAGCAGAGGAAGAACCGTTCCAAGGAGTTCCGCGGAACGGCCAAGACCAAGGGTGCCAGCAAGGACAAGAAGAAATAAACGGTTCGCGRGGTTGTTGGTGCAATGGGTTCGGTTACGCTTCACTTGCCTGCTGCATACGGTGCAGTGGTCTGTACTTGCATGATCTGGTGTGGGAAAAGCACCGGCTTGGCGTTGATGATGCTGAGATATCACGGGCAATGAGATTCTGTCACCAACTCCTCCTCTCCATTGCCGTGGCTATGTACAACTCCCATCATGATCGAGGTAGCGACATGATGATTAAAGCAAGAATGACAACCCAGATGCTCCGAATGAATGCCACTTGCACCGCCAATCACTTCTTGATACACAAATCCATGAGTGTTGCTTGATCGGGGGCTATGAGCATCTCGAAAGACCAACCCAATGGTCCGGAAGTCGCCGTCTCTCTCACGCCGAGGGCACGCAGCTTTAGAGCAAATCTGCGACATTCAWCTCTAGGTATTTCCCACGACACTGTTGGTTCGAGCATGCGCATGTGACTCCTTGGTTCGCCGGCCCGCCCGCAGCTCAGCGTCATCTTTCCAATGCGACCAGCATTTTTGTGTCCAATGCTCTCGAGCCATTCGATCACCATGTCCTGGTCTCTTGCGCGGACACCGCTGACATGTGCATGCAACGCTCCGAAGAAAATGGCAGTGGTGTCATCTCGAACTGACTTGCAGACCCGGGTAAGTGCTGGCATCAGCGGTCTCATGTCGAGCCCTCCACGGTCAGTAACTACATCTCTGCATAGATTTTCTGGAACCTTGCTTCGTAATGTCAGCACTTTGCTTGTTTGGGCTCGCGGGGACATTCTGTCTTACATGTCGTGCATTTCAAACTTCTTTTGCGCGTACTTCACCTGATTCAATGTCGCTTCCAGACACTCACGGCCCTTTGATTGCCTCGCACGACACGGGCGTCCGGGATGACACYCCCTGTGGCAACGATGCAGGATCAAGCATCCAGAGAGGGAGTAGATGATATTGCGAACTCGGCGGGGAGGTCGGTGAGAAAAGCCTTGGGTCTGGTGTACATGGCATCTTCGAGGTCTGTGGTATGTTTGTTGGCCATAACTGCTAGACTCGACGGTTATGGCAGGGGGTAGAGGTCGCTGTAACGAATAGCAAATGTGAGGCTAGAGGAATCAGATGATGAAGCAAGATGAGCGGAAAGTTTTCATAAAGAATTTCAGAAGAATTGATCACAGTTGGCGAAGGCTTCCTCGTGTCTGTGGTGAGGTATCGCCTGGGGGATTGTGGAAAGATCAATCGATCATCCAAGAAAGGGAAGGAAGAAAGACCGCCGGTTTCCAGACGAACAAGCGATGAGCACGCTCGTAATCATCTGGCTGTGAGCTCAAGACCAACACTCTCTGCGGAGTTACAAATGTGGCTTCGAATGGTGATGGTAGCAATATTTCTTGGTCGGTGTTGCGCTCACCATCATTTTCTCCGACACCTACGGTCAGCCAACTCCAGATTCGATTTGAATGATCGAATGCCATGCGTGTGTCCCGAGCAGGCCTAATGCGCGGGTACCGGAGTCTTGCGAGATGGAGTGAAGGTGCGGCCTTCGGACTCATCCGCTCCAAACTTCATGACACCAGAGCAGTGCCGGATTTTTCCTGCGACTCCCAGTGAGCACTGAACATCAATGTTTCCGGACCCCACTCCTGGGAGTGATTTGCCAAATGATCAGGAAGAAGGCGCATCAAACATGCACACTATGCCTGCTTTGACCGCTTCCTTGTTACGCAGGGGTCTTTCGCTCGACGACGGTATTGTCTCTGTACTGCCAGCCTTCCACACAGCACAGATTCCTCAGATCAAAATGAAGACCTGCAGTATCGGACACTTCCACCTTGTACAGTTTGCGATTCTTCCTGGTTTGGGTGATCAGGAGAGCTGTCTGAGCATAGGCTAGCGAGACGGACAAATGACCTACCTCGCATACTACCTCGTATGATCTCAAGCATGCGGTCACAGGGAGTCAACATCACGGGAATTTACGTGAAAGTCCCAGGAGCAGAAATCGGCAACGTGCCAGCAAACCGCTGAGCTCGGTCACACGGTCAATCTCTTGGTCTCCTCAGCTGTAGCAGATGACATGCAGTGCAGGAACCGTCGACAAGCATCATGTCAAGGAATCCCAACGTGGCGGTGTTGCCATTCGAAACAACCGCAATGGAAGACCAACATGGTCGGCTCCAAGAAATCCGGATATTGAGCATTGAACTTGCGGTCCTTCATCAAGGTTCATTCATATCGCCAACCCTCGACGGCAATGGACAACCCGAATGAATGTGGAAATTATTGCGGAGCAGGTGAGTGATATCCGGACCATAATTGCCGCAAAGGGCTCGAATCGGCATTGTACGATGCAAGCGCTTCGCAAGTCGCGTGAGTCGACCGTCGACAAGTTTGATGAGTGGAGTCAACCAAACACCTGCACTTGTTGGAGTTGCCTTTGTCGGACGATTGGCAAAGGCGATCGTCCAGGAACGCCCGCCCGCACACTCCACACGGATCGACGGTTTCCCCTCCAAGATTCTCACAATCTCTCGTAATAACTTAAGAGGCAAACGTTTTTCGGAAAGCGCCTGAGCCCGTTCTTCACACCTTTGTTTTGATGACAAACTCACGACAACGAAGCGCAGAAGTGCGTACGTGTCGTGAAACGCGCGCAAGGCCCGGCGCCGAGCTTACTCTTACTCGCAAACTTCCCATCGTCTCAGCAATCATCAATCGATCGGGCCAGTGGCCATTCGAGTGGCCATGGTATTTTCGAGAATGTCCGGGGTGGAGCAAGCTGTGACACTCCGAAATTTCACGAAGTGAAGGCGTGTTTGCAAACACCGACTGGCATTCGCTGCGGTACCGCCCCGACAGAGATTTGGACACCCACGCGCCGCATGTGCCATGGAGTGCGGTGATTTCACAGAACGGGCAGGCCACACGTGCTGGTGCATCTGCCAATGAGAAGTACACATGATGGCAGCGTTGCCTATGAACACTCGACACGCCGGTGTTTTCACACCGGCTTTGCTGGCTTCGTGGTGGAGCAATTTTGCGCGTACCCCTCGCTTGCCGCCCATACACAGATCGTGATCGGATGCTGGCTGCGGTCAGACACGTATTCAATCCATGCAACGTTTTGCCAGGTCCGCGTAGGTTACAGCAGATTCCTCATCGGAGCTGGGGATTGTGGGATGATGCTGGCTTGGCCCTGCTCGGAGTTGTTAGGTAACAAGAAGCAGGAGTCGTAAGGCAGGTGAGGGATCCTCGGATGTGAGATCGGCGGCGTGATTGCCATGTCGGATTTCGTGCTTCCATTCCCAGAAAAAAACAACTCCCCACATGGATCAGAAATCTCGCATCTCCATCCTGCTGCTGAGTCGGGGGCAGACCCGCCGAGCAATCGAGCTGGCACAACGTGCTCACCCTACGGCTGCCACCGTACCTGTACAGCAGTGCCGTCGGAGGCCGGTAGGCTCCATGAAAGTGGAATGCTAGGTAGGATGACAGCGAACCAGTGCGCACGATCGCACAACACACGCGCGGACAAACCGCTCGACCACCTAACTTACTGTACCCGTCTCCACTCTGCACCAGGAGCCTTGACCCCTTGTGCCGTTGGTCCCGTCTGCATTGACTGTACGTACCATCGAAGCTTGTGCATTATTCTGCAATGGCTTTGTCTGCTTCGCCGAATCGTGCTGGACTCCTGGAGCTGTGATGCCGCTATCCTCTGCAACCCTTGCGCCATGGCTTCTCACGCTCGAGCCATAACGCTCCACCGTCTCGCCGTCTGGTAGGCATGGCATAGCGCACCTGGACTCGTTCGTGATTCCCTCCCTCTTCAACCCCATCTCCATACCCTTTGCGACCTGCTCTTCTTTGTCTCCGTCTAGACTTACCTGGCTTGATCCACTTTCGACGCCTCGAGACAAGGACAAGGACAATCTAACGGATAAGGACCGACCCTGGCTTATCGTTACGAGCTAGTCCAAACTTCTCTCAAACTACCTACCCTACTTATCGTAGGAGCGCCCTCTTGACGTGCTCCCGGGCCATTACAGTCATACAAGCCGCTTCTTTCCGTTTCGTAAGTACGAGCAAAACAAGAGGAACTCCCCGCCGCAGAATGCACTCAGCCGCTGACACTCTCCCCTCAGACTGCTACATTCGTTTCCCGCGTGCAACCTAGCATCGGCCTTATCTCAGCTTCGACTCAGAATACCTATACTTCAAGCTGCTATTGCTTGCCGGTATCCGACTCTTGCAATCATCACCACCACCACCTTTCCTCCCCCGCCGACGACGAACAGCGAAGCGGCAAGCTATCCTCACGCCTTGGTCGAATGCTAGGAAACACATCTCCGGCGAGATCGATCTCCTGTCCACCCACACCATCAGTCGGCCCGCACAATGAACCAACGTCACCATGTACGCACAGGCTCGCAAGGCCGAAAGCTACTTCCACCTCATGCGAAGCCTCAAAAGCCGGCWTCAGTGAGAAGAGGTGCAAGTTATAACAACTCCACCACACACGCACACACTTCGAATCATAGCCAGCACCACAACTCCATCTCGTCGAAAGGCACAGGCAGAAAGGCGGAGGAGAGCTTAGATCAGGACGAGGACGAAGAATTCGGCATGGCGAGCTTTCTGCAATTTTGGTGAGCATTGATCGTCAAGGATATGATGGACAACTTTGGCTGACTGGTCAGTGCGACTTGTGAAAAGCAGATTGTAACTCCGGGAAGCAGCATATTGTATTGCAGTGAAGCGTATGTCTAGTGCTCATGGGAATGTGCTTGGCAGGGCCGGTGTGCTAACGAGTGGTTCAGATGTCGTAAGAGAGACGTATCACGGCCACCGTCGATACTCTCAATACACGCAAGCTCATCGTCACCAATGTTCTCGTCGGTCTCCTATTTCGACCACTCGCAGCCGAACATTATGCCACAACGTTCACCAACCGTACTTCGACCAACCTCATTGACACTATCAGACCTCTCAATGTCAGACTTCGGCTCATCACCCGGCGGTGGTGAATACAGGGACCGGGCCAATCGCAGAGACAGCGATCGTAACTCGAACGCTACGGATACCAGCAACACCAGCAACACACCCTCCCTTGTCCACTCACCAAGTTCATCATATGGGACTGTGGCTTCGAATCACTCCTACCGCCCCTTGGCACCACGACACAACCCATTCACCACCACAAATTACCGCAAGTCACTGGAGCTGGTCGCATTTGACGGCGCACCCCCGAGTCCCACTCAGATGCTCAAAGATAGTAGCATGAAGAGCTCCGCAAGCACCATGACTTCTTTCCGAGTGGCTGAAGCGAGCGACTTGTCGTATGAGAATCGCCGGAAGAGCTCATCGAACAAGTACGATCAAATTGTGGATAATGGGCTGAAGGAACAACGCTTCAGTCATGATGCCGTCAGAACTTCGTCAAAGACCCGCTAATGTCCTAATATGGGTCATACATTGTGACACTGCAATTACAGTTCTACCTTACTTGCATCGCACACTGGTCATCAACTCACCTCGGGTGCTTATCGGAATGGGAATAAAAGTTATTGATGTTGTACATTGGATGGAGTTTCGGAACATGTGGCGGAAGACTAGTACGCCCCTGCATTGGTCGGGAAAGGCGTCTCTCATACGATGTAAACCATCTTGAAAAAAGTTAGACTTGTGTCTTGGGCTTAATGCCATATAATCTCCTTTCGGAGTGAATGAATAAATCAAACAAAGCCAGATGCCCTCACTTTGATGTTGACTTCCTCCTCTCTGTAACCACTTCTGGATGGCACGCAACACCCCCTTTGACCTACAGAGCATGGTAACAGCTACGAGATGTCTTTGCGATTCAGAGAGGCAATCCAGCGTGGCAAGATGCCGTGTTATACATCTCTAGAACTCTCGCCAATCGGCTGTACATCCGTTCTCACGTTTGACTTTTTGCTGTCAGACTCGCGTGCATGAACTGGAGAAGTATCCACAAGCAATTCTTCGTCGCCCAGGATCTCCACCTCATCAACGTCCGCGTTGTCGAGTAAGACGGCTTCCCTCTTCCGATCGACCGTCCTTCTCCAAGGTTTGTATGCGAGGACTGACAAGATCCCAAAGACAAGGAATGAACCTACGATACATCCTCCAATAACATCGTAGTGGTCACCTACAACATCCACGCCGTCCCAAAATGGTCCCTCAAAGTCAGGTCGAACGTTGTGGATCATGGTGAGGAGCTGTATGACCCCGATGACCAGTGCGACGATGACGGTGATTGCAGTCAGCACGATTTGATAGTATAGCACCGCAATGGTATCTTTCGCGAGGCGTGCCGATGTGTATAAACTCATCATCGCAGCGCCATCAAATGTGTCTAGTAAACACATCCCCGCCGTGAAGAGTACRGGGAAGATTAAGATGAGCCAGATGGATGTTCCTGCTGCGGCTTGGATGGAGGAGATTCCGAGCAAGGCGATCTCGGACGAAGTATCGAATCCCAAACCGAATAGTACGCCCAACGGATACATCTTCCAAGGGCGATCGACCAGCTTGAAGGTTCTCTTCAGCAACATGGTCATGCAGCCGCCGCCCTCGAAAGAGAATTCCAGAGACTCCTGGCCTATGGGCGCGGCGATGGCTTTCTGAAGCTGTTGATAGAGCTTGTAGAGGATCCAGCCATTCATGACTCCCAGCAAGATGAGGAAAGCCGCGGACACCGAAGATCCAATGATACCACCAACCTTGCCGAAAGAACCGAAACGATCCTCAATCGCAGCGGAACTGGCAGCTACTATTATAGAGGTCACAACGACGATTGTGGAATGGCCCAGAGAGAAGAATGTACCGACGGTGACGGGGCGTTGGCCAGAGGCGACCAGACGCCGGGTCATGAGGTCGATGGCGGAAATGTGATCCGCATCCAGGGCGTGTCGAAGTCCGAGGGTGTACGAGAGCACGGCGGTGGAAATGAGGGCCGTGTGAAAGTGTAGGACTATGCCTACTGCTATCCAGACTATGATTTGAACGACGATCAGGAGAAGGACTATGGCTATTGCTGGACCGGGTAGGCGTCTTATCCATGGAATTTGTTCCTGAAAGTGGCCTGCTTTTTGTTTCATTTTCGCCAGCATCGGGCGACGCTCCATGTCAGGATCCATGATCAACGGGTTGGAGTGTAGAGTTCCATAAAAGATGAAATGACTTTGCGTTTGGTATTTCTTGCTCGTGATAGCAGTGTTTTTCTTTTGGCGCGTAAGGTACCTTATAGTGGGGTATTGCGGGGCAGGCGATAGTCGCTGTCACGCAAGTCGGCAAGAAGATAWCAAAACCCACCGGCCACCAAGGTGATTTTTCTTGCTTCGGCGGTAAGGAAATGACAGCAAGAAGCGCTTCGCGTGATGATCATGCAACATCTAAGATGGACTCCTTCAGTTGATGCAAGGTGCCACACTTGTCACTTTATTTTCCCTCCGTGCTTCAATCCTCCAATCCAACACTGAAGTTGGTCACATTCACGCGTATTTCGCAACACACAAGCTCGCATTGGTGCCCCCAAACCCGAAGCTGTTGGTCAAAGCAGCGTTGACGGTGTGTTCCTGAGCTACTCGGGGAACGTAGTTGCAATTGAAATCCTCAGGTGGGTCGCCTGGATGTTCGAGGTTCAAAGTCGGTGGCAAGACGTTCTGCAAAAGGTCAGCGAGTGTTAGGATCGACCGCTGATCTCACTTCACATACATGATGGACTGCGAGAATGGTGAAGATGGCTTCTACAGCACCCGCAGCACCAAGCAGGTGCCCTACGGCACCCTTTGTACTGCTCACGTTGATCTCGGATGCTTTGGTCTTGCCTCCTTCTCCGAGCAAGAGACTTTTGATCGCATTATTCTCCGCGGCATCGCCGAGACGAGTAGAGGTGGCATGAGCGTTGATGTAGTCGATTTCACCCGGCTCAAGTCGAGCATGTCTCAAGGCTTGTCTCATTGCCAGGTATGCGCCGCCGCCATCCTCCCTGGGAGCTGTCATATGATGTGCATCTGAAGACAGGCCGTAGCCTCTGATCTCAGCGTAAATCTTCGCACCACGAGCTTTAGCATGCTCGAGTTCCTGTAGCATCTGTGAGCACGCCGTTTGCATTCTTACGAGACAATTCCTACCTCAAGAACCACCACACCAGCACCTTCGCCAATCACGAAGCCGGCACGGTCTCGATCAAAAGGTCTTGACGATGCATTTGGATTGTCGTTCCAGTCCGTGGCGAGGCTGCGAGCTCTTGCGAAGCCAGCAATGGCGAGTGGATGAATGCATGATTCCGCTCCGCCCGCCACCATGACATCCGCATCACCAAACGCTATCAGACGAGAGGCATCTCCAACAGCGTGGAGGCCAGTTGTACATGCTGTAGTGGCAGCGTGATTTGGCCCTTTGAAGCCATATCGAATAGAGATGTGGCCAGCAGCAAGATTGATGAGCAATCTAGGTACGAAAAGCGGCGAGACCTTACGGTAGCCATGCTCGTGGAACGCGACTGAAGTTCGATAGGCCTCGTCAAGATTGCCAATTCCAGATCCGATCGTGACTCCCGTAGCCTCCAAATCTGACTCCTCTGTGGGATGCCAGCCGGCGTCTTCCAAAGCTTCATGCGCGGAAGCGATGGCATACTGAGCAAAAAGTGCCATTTGACGCTCGTCGCTCGCTGGCAACCAGTCTTTTGCTTGCCATTTGCCCTGTTCGCGGCTTCCAAGCGGTATCAGCCCTGCGACGCGACTTGGAAGCGTGTCAAAAGAAGGCCCTTTGGATGAAGTCGAGACGATTCCGCTGCCGGAATCCAATAGGCGACGCCATGTCTGCTTGATTCCGGCAGCCAGTGGTGTTACCGCTCCCAAGCCAGTAACGACGACTCTTCGCATCTCATGTTCGATGTGATGGTGATTGTGGGAAAGGAATGTCTGGCTATCCCGTTCCGACGTGGGCCGTGCGTAATGCTGGAGACTAGGGTTAGGGTTGGGGTAGCGAGGACGACGTCAGTCTTCAAGCAATGMCGCTACAGATAACTTGTATAGTAGACCGCTGATAGGGGGGTGGATGGTAGATGTTGAAGTAAGGCTACGAAGCAACCCGAGTTCGACAGTCGTGATACTCAGTGGGAATGGAGCGAGTGTGCAGTGTATCGTCGAGACATAAACCGCCCTTCAGCTCGGGTGCTTCCACTCCACGTCCACAATGAACAGAAGCTTCCGAGAATAGATGAATAGATCGGAAGTTGGAAAGACCTCAAAAGCTTCCTCTCGAGCTCAATGTACTCCCCGGCATGCTCAGACGACGAAGGAAATCAACACATGTATCGTCTTGACTGTTCACTCTCTGCCTCACGCACATGTATGTGATTGCTAGTGCGATATTTTAGAGTCCGAGCTAAACTTAGCCCCGAACCCTCGTCGCGTCTCGGTGTCTCGTCGCTCGCGTGTGCGACCTCATCATTTATTGCACCTCGCAACTTCGAGGACTTTCGACCAGCAACTGCACAAAGAGTGTCGCCCTTTCAGCATGCGACATCAGTACAATCCTACYCGCTGACCAAACAGAAAGAGCCTGCAATGCCTCGCGCGACCAGAAACAGAGTCGCAGATGCGCCACCAGTCGTGGAACCACCGGAGGAGATGGAGGTTGACGACGAGGAAGATWCTTCAGAACGCAGACAGCCGCTGCAGTTCGACGAGCCGCTGAATTGGCGCGCAGGGAAACCCATCGCCGTGGCAGAGCTGTTGCGACGTCTAAAGTTGTTGGCAGCGGAGTTGAAGCAGCTGCAGCAGGAAGATGTGGACAAAAAGTCGATTGTGCCCAAGGCGCAGGAACTCGCCAGCTCACAGCTACTTGGACACAAGGACGCTGGAGTCCGATCATACGCGCTGCTATGTATCGTGGACATATTCCGGCTGACTGCGCCCGACGCGCCTTACAAGATAAATCAGCTCAAGGACATCTTCACACTCATCATCTCGACCATTATGCCTGCGCTGGCTGATCCCCACGATCCATACAGCCAGCAACATCAGGATATCATCCACTCTTTATCAGACGTGAAGAGTATTATTCTGGTGTCAGAGCTCCCAGGAGCTGATGCGCTTGTTCTCAACCTCTTCACCAACTGCTTTGATGTCATGTCGGGCAACACTCGAGGTAGCGGAAGAGATCCCCTGTCAAAGAGCGTTGAGTTCAACATGACTGGCATGCTCACCGCCTATCTTGACGAGGCCCAAACACTTCCCTCCGGCGTGATAGACATTCTTCTAGCTCAATTTCTTCGAGCTGATCCCACCCTGTCAGCTGGTCATCGCAAAGGCGATGCCAATCTTTTGAACACCGTGCACGAAGTCTCGCCTGCATACAACATGGCCCGATCAGTCTGTAACAGTGTGACTGAGAAGATGGCTCGTCATGTGGGTCAGTATTTCAACTCYGTTTTGATCGATGCTAGCCAGTCAATGGGAGGAGCAAAAGCCGCGAAAACCAAGGGCAAGAAACGAACGTACGACGATAGCGACGACGACTCGGACTCTGGTCTGTTAACACCACCTTCGGAGGAGGACCTGCAAGAAGTTGCCAAAGCACATCGACTATTGCGTGAGCTTTGGCGGTCTTGCCCGGACATCATTCGAAATGTCGTCCCTCAGATCGAAGCCGAGATTGCGACCGAGAACTTGTCGCTGAGAGTAATCGCTGTGCAGACGCTTGGTGACATGATCGCTGGAATTGGCGCCGCGGGTCCGCCGCCACCGCCAGCGCTGGATCCTGCTGCGTACCCTTCACAGAGCTTGGAAGTCAGTCCTCCCGCACCCCAGAATGTTTTGCTCACACCCGCAGCTCCGCTGGCATTCTCCACCGCATATCCCACAGCATATCAGTCATTCTTCGACAGATATCGAGACAAGGCGGCCTTGGTCAGGGCTGCATGGGTAACAGAGGTTGGGAGAATAGTCTCCACATCTGGTGGCGGCAAGGGACTTGACTCAGAGCAGGAGCCAAAGCTCATCAGATGCTTGGCAGACATGCTAATGGACAACGATGAGAAGGTGCGTCTGGCGGCTGTTCAAGCAGTGAGCCAATTCGACTTTCAAGCGGTGCTGCAAAAGCTCGGAACGCTGGGAGGCGTCACGACTCCGACTTCAGTTCTTTGCAACCTTGCGGATCGCATCAAGGACACTAAGCCTGTTGTTCGAGTTGCTGCTATAGAACTGCTTGGGAAACTTTGGGGAGTCGCAGCTGGTGCCATCGCCGAAGACGGCGAACGAGTTCGTGAACTGCTGGGCGCCATACCTTCCAGGATATTTGAGGCGATGTATGTCAACGACAAGAGCCTGAATGCGCTCGTTTCTCGCGTCATGTTTGACTCACTCATCCCAACCAACTACCCCCCGATCAAGTCCAAGCCCGGAGACTCTCAACGGATACCCGACAGCCAAAATGCTGGCGACCGCCCGCCGGACCGCGATAGAATCCGTACCGAGCGTATACTGGTTCTTGTGCGAGATCTTGAAGAGAAAGCCAAGACTGTCTTCTTCTCTTTGCAACACCAACAGGCAGCGAAGGCAAAGTACTTTGAATCGATTCTGGATGCTAGTGAGAAATTGAGCAATGAGAATGATAAGGAGAGTCACACAGAATCCAAGAAGAAGATCGATGCACTCATAAACGCCATTGCCGCAACGTTCCCAGACGCACTCGTGGCCGCGGGTCATCTCGCAAAGTTCTTCAAGTCTAACGACAGGCGAAACTTTGCACTCTCACGATTTTGTATATCACCGGAAAGCGAGTACCAAAAGGTCAACAACGCAATGAAGGAGCTCCTGAAACGGTTGGAAGATTCACCCAGCAACATTGCAGGTGTTTACGACACAGTCAAGGCCTTCGTGCGTTCTGCCGCGATCCTGGTCTACAACAGAAGTCACGTTCCGGCCATTATGGAGTATTCACGAACGGACGAGAAAGGACTTGGTTCTGCGGCTCACGAAGTCCTGAAGGAAATCTCTGCAAAAGCGCCTCGGGTCTTCAAGGTCCATATCAAGGAGCTTTGCGAAAGCTTGAAGAGGCAAGCACCATCCGCTGCTACGCCAAACGAGGCAACTGCTGTTGAGTCACTGAAGGCATGTGCTGGGTTTGCTCGGCATTTCCCGGACGACATGGGCCAAAATCGGGACTTCTACAAGGCCATGACGAAGTATGCATTGTTCGGCACGCCGCCCACGGCAGCAAAGCACGCAGTGAGCGTCATCGTGGCTTCTGCGGAAAAGAAGGAGATGTACATCAAAGACATCCTCAAGTCATGTCTCAAGGATTGCAAGCTTGGCTCAGACAGCTTCCTTTCCCGCCTTGCAGCATTAAGCCAGCTAAGACTCCTGGCGAGCGAAGAGATTGAAGATGAAGATGATGCCATTACTGAGGTCATGACGGGAGTACTCGCTGATGAGCGCACCGCATCAGATGCTGCTGACCCAGACTGGACCGACGAGCCCGACGATGATCTCACAGCCAAGCTTTGGGCGCTCAAAGGCATTGCTAACAAGCTTCGAGGCTATGTCTCCGTTCACGATAGCGAAGAGCCTACAGAGGAACTACGATTCCTCTCGGAGCCCATATTCCGGCTCCTCAACACGCTGATCGAGCGTGAAGGTGCCTTGTCTTCGACCGAGGAGTTGACTCCCAAACATCACAGGTCGCAGCTTCGTCTCGCTGCTGCGAAACATCTTCTTAAGCTCTGCTGTAGCAAGGCGCTCGACAAGATCTTCTCGCCGAGAGACTTCAATCGTTTGACCAGGATTGTACAAGACGCACTACCTGAAGTACGTGCTGGCTTCAATGGTGCTTTGAAGAAGTACAATGGGCAAAATTTGCTGCCTCGCAGGTTCTACAGCTTCATGTTTCTTTATGCATTTGAACCGAAGAAAAGCACCAAAGAAGCTACGGTGACTTTCCTCAAAGCGAGAGCATCAAGTTTCGCCAAGAGTGGTGACCAGTTTCTGGAAGGTGTATTCTCCCAATTCCTCAGTCTACTCGCCCACCATCAGGACTTCTCCACTGCGCCTGAGGATTTGACAGACTTTGTGGACTACATCATCTTTTACTTGAAGATTGTGGCCACCGAAGCGAATCTGCCTGTCATTTACAGCATCGCGCAGAGGATGAAGACCGTTCAGGACGGCATTGATCCTGATAAAAGCGAGAATCTCTACGTACTCTCCGATCTGGCAGAAGCCATCATTCGCATCTTTCAAGAACAGCGCGGATGGTCTTTACAGATCTTCTCTGGCAAGACTCATCTGCCGCAAGGTATCTTCGCCCGCATGCCCAACCACGCAATAGCACAGGAAATCGCAGAGAAGAGATTCGTGCCAGAGGAGCTTGCCGATGAGCTTGAAGACTTAGTCAAGGATCGCATGAAAACCAAGGCCAAGAAGCGCAAAGCAGAGAAGATTGACGGTGCCTCAACTCGCACTGTCAAGAAGGCGCGAACTTCTACCGCGAAGGCTACCAGCAAGGCGACCAAGGCACCAAAGGCACCCAAAGCTGCGAAACCAGCAAAGACTCCAAAGAAGCGCAAGTCAGATGCGGTACCGTCTTCAGATCGCAGGAAGAGCGCTCGAGCGTCGAATGCACATAACTATGCCGAAGCGGACAGTGATGAGGAGGAGGAAGAAGAAAAGGAAGTAGAGGACGAGGAGGCTGCCAATGATTCGGACGCAGGCGAGGAAGGCGAAGGTGACCAGGGGGCAAACAAGGAGAACGTGTCGTCCTCTACACCGCCGACAAGCGACCCAACACCGGCGCCTGCATCAGCTGTTACCCGGAAGGAGAGGCAGGCGGCCGAAAAGAATGCCACACGTAAGGAGAAGCAGGCAACGGAAAAGAACCCCCCACGAAAGAAGGCGACGAAGACGAAGCAACAGCAGCAGCCTGCAGCTCGTCCTAGTCGTTCGACAAGGARCACGAAGAAACCCGATGACAAGGTGTACGATATGCCTGGTGATGATAGCGATAGCGAGCTATCGGATGCGATGGAGGTTTGAGGGGAGGGGTTTTCACATTAAAGTATCCGCCATGTGCGTTCCATTCTGATATCTGCTGCATGCATATTTGCCAATAAGCGAGCCATCGTGCATGACCGAGAGCGAGCGAGAGAACGAGGAGAGGCGTAAACGGCGCGAGAACGGGGAACTGGTGTGCATACTCAGCGACAACGAAGTGCGCGTTCAAGGCATTCAAAAGTACAGGTCGCACCCATTCTRCACTACTGTAGCTGATTCGTAGCGTGTGACGATTGATGATCCTGACCGCTGAAACGAACTTCCCGCGACGTGAACGTGAACAAAATTCTTCAAAGTATCACAACATGATAATGGGTATCTCGTATCTCACAAGTGTCTGCACAAACGCAGCAGCAAACGGCGTTTGTGAACGCCTCCTTCCTTCCAGTGTGGTCACACAGATCTTATTTCACGGTCGCCCAGAACCGCTGCTCTGACTTGTAGAACAGCCACAAGCTCTAGCACGAATTCTTGCAATACCACCACATTCGTCAAAACATGATTGAGACTGGCGCTCCTCTCACCGTCGCCGCCGTCGCTCACGTGATCATCTGTAGCTCTGACGATTGCGGGAAACGTCATGACCTGCATGAGCATGTCCGTGGTAGAGGGTGTTTCGGGTGGGGGAGGCTTGAATATTGATGGCGGGCCATTGACTTCTTCACGGGATCGCGAAGCTGCACGCGAGTTTGCGCGCGAGGCAACCTTTGAGCTTCCTGGTGCAGAGTGGGGTGAAGAATCACTGGCTGCCTTTTGAGCTCCACCCCGACCTCTCATTGGCATCGACGAAGGCGTACTGGAKCCGCTGGTATGCCCAGCTTTCTTCAGAGCGCCGGGTACGTCAAGGAAGGCGGCGGGTTGCCTTGATGGGCTTTGCATCACAGAGGGCGGACCGCTTGCATATTCATCTTCAAGATTCGCAGCCTGGAGCATATTTTTCCTCCCAGCGATGAGCTGGTTGAGGTTAGGAACTTTGATCCGAACGGCCTCGACCTCGTTTACCAGGGCTTGGAGCTCAGTGTATAACATTGGCGTGGTAGAGTCGGTCCAGGTTGGGAAGCGTAGTGCTGTCTGCAGAGCCGCCCATTCAACTCTCTCGTCATCATCCAACTGTGACTGCCACGATTTGGACGGCTGAGWAGCCTCTTCGGGAAAGTTGTATGCGCGAGGAGAAACAGCCAGCCAATCCTCAAGACGAACCTCTACGCATTGCGCGATGGAGACGATTGCCTGCGTGAGGGCGAGATTAACGTCAATGCTGTTCGTGAGGAACGAACGCAGCACGGTCCTGAGAGTCCGTAACAAGGCGTCATTATCACCCAGGATATAACCGCCCACGTTGATGTCATCCTGGCCATTTGACGCCGACTTGCGGAAGACCTGTGCCTCGATAGACATGCGCAGATCGTGACATAGAGAGCCGTAAGTCACGTCCAGACCGTATTGAGGGTGTAAAGATACGGCAAGCTGCAGATATCGCTCAAGCTCACAGTCGAGCGCACCCACAGTTCGGTCTGGACGGTTTGGTTTGACTTCTTGCACCTTCAATAATGTCCCAAACGCATACATTCGTTGACGTGTTACAATCGCCGATGTGAGCTTCAGCGCGGCAAAGACAGTCTGTGAGTTGCGCGAGTTGACATCGTTGATGATCAGGTCAACAAGATTGAACAATGTTGGCTCCACGGCATCTTCCACATCCTTTGGAGCGTTCAGTAACATCAGACTTTGTCGGCGCTTGGCGGCGATTGGAGATGGCGGGGAGCTATCCGGGTCTTTTGACGTCTGTGGCATGACTGAATCGTCAAGCCTCTGATCTTGTATTGCCAACAGATACGTCAACATCATGTGAATTAGATCTGGGTACTCCAGAGCTTCCAGCATGGCCGTCATGTACGTTAAAACGGCAACGGAGCTTCCCGCGTCCATATCACTGGATTGCAGTAGTGACGGATAGAGCAGCTGTTGAAGGAACAGTATCTGGAAATGGTCGAGCAAAGTCTGCTTGACATCTGCACTTCTACAATGATCCAATACGTCTTGCCAGAAGGCGAGATAGGATAGAAAAGTTGACATGTGTGCTTTGTGTCTTTCCGAGAATGCAGACTCGGCGGTAGCACGTGCATGCGTGGTGGTGTAGTCGCTCATAGCCAGAACTGCGGGCAGAGATGCATCTGGATGCAATATGCTCAGCTCACGACTCAGCTGGCTGTACAACGCTCCAAGCCCGGAAGCCATGAGCGTGGGCAGATCGCTCGATACGACCCACGTTTCAAGGTCCAACGAACGCCCGGTGGCTTCAAAGACATACAGCAAGCCCGTCCGCGCAAAGTCACCGATGCGGCCCTCATGATGCACCCGATCGATGAGCAGGTAGCACAGTGGGAAGTCATCCTTTTGGGTGGTGCCCACAAAGCTCTTCTTCTCATTGAGGAAGACCTGCTGCACTTCTCGCTTTGTGGTGGATTGGAACCAGACGGGCAGAATTTCCGGCTGCAGGCGTATTTTGGCCGCGATTGTGAAGAGCAGCTCCAGGATAGCAGTCTCCGTCTCATTGTCAATCAAAAGATTGCCACCGTCCGCCACCTTGCGCACCAGGCTCATCAAGCTCTTGGCGAAATGGCCGCTTGCGAGAAAATCGACCTCCTCACTGTCCACGAGAGCGGCGAAGACGGCGACGCTGGATCGTATCACCCGCTCATATTGGCTCACGGTCGCYACTCGTGCCACTCTTGTGTAGATCTGGGTCCCCGCGGCGAATTGCAGACAGGTATGCGGAACCGGAGCTCGCGATTCCTCGCGGAGAAGTGCTGCTAGCTTATCCAGACTCGCACTCAGACTGTCGAACAGCGGGCCCTCGGCGGAGGGGTTTCGCGGGCGATTGCATTGTTCGACAAAGGTGTTGTAGACCCGCTTGAAGCGGAGGAGTCTCGCCTGCGGGTCGTGGACTGCTGGTCGAGCTACCGGTTTTGTTGGTGTATAGGTGGTGCCGAAAAGCCGAGCCCAGAAGTCCATCGTGTGGTGTTCATGGCATGTCCTGGAACTACCGGAAGGATGATGTCGTCTTCATCCTCGTCGTCTCCCGTCGGGCTTGGTTCCGGTTGATGCACGTGAAACGGCAGGTGAGTTGTTGGAACACGATGAGGTGGAGAAGACGCGTAGGGATGCGCTAAGAACATTTTCAGCCTGAGGCAGTAACGGGCAGTCCTTCATCTTTCCCGTCTTCCATCACAATAAGATCATTCCGAGCAAGGTGCAGCTCAACACTTTGCCTCCGGAAATTGACATACATGCATCAATATAGCCACCGCGGCCAGGCAGACAGCGCGACGAGCTCTAACTCGTGCAAATTGATCTTCACGAAAACATCAAGGCAGCCAGTCCTTCCCCACATCCACATCCTACACACATCATCTCCGGAGCCTCAGCGACAACCGTAGCACCTTGCGAATTGCCTTGTAGCTGCGCCAAGAAGAATTGTGGCCTCAAACGCTCGGCTGCATGGAATCATGAATTCTCCGAAGGGAGAAGTACCCGGTCTGACATGCCCTCCATCTTTCACCTACCAAAGGCAACGACAGCTGTTTCGCAAGCCATATGGCCCATGGTATGTCTCACATCTACACCGCTTAGCTTGGGATACTCAACGACCAATCGAGCCTGCCTGCGTGTAACTTCTGCTTGTGACTTTCGCTKCCTCTTTGCACTTCAACAGCTGCAGAGGGCACTCTACCGCTGAGAGGCAGAAGGTGCGCTGATACGAAGTGAGCAAATCGAGTGGCTGGTACCATGATGGCTCGGACGTTTTCGAGATTCAAGGCATCGTTGATGACCACCCGCTCGATCATGGCGCAACAAGCGCACTCACCATCCACACGGGGTGGAATTTAGTGCATCGTCGAGTGGAGAAAAGCCTTGTGGAATAGAACGACTGGATGGAAGATATACTTGCCCACCGTGGGACGAATTGGTCACGCGCTTGACTCTCCCACTCCCACTCCCACATTGACACCAACGTGTCCTATGATTTGGTGCCGCACAGGACCACATCAGACGGGAGTGTGTCAGTCTCTTATCATTGGCTTGGCCATCTCCTCTTCACAAGACATTCATCGATCTCTCGGGTTGCATCCAGCGCATTTGTCATTTCTTCCCTGAACGGGACAATGGCCAAGCATTGCATTGTCGGTGTCATGTGTTGTTTGCACAATCCTCATGGAGACATTCTTGATTGTGGGCCTGGTATAGAAGAAATTTCACGTGGTTTGAGTGCAGTTCTCAGCCTCAGCCTTGCGAAGAGTAGCCTCCACTTGAGGCGTTTTGAGGCACCCGATCTGGCGTTTGTCAACGGCACGATGTCTGGCATGATGGTGGATATGTCTCTGACTGAGACCCCCCTCAGCGACTCCCGCCCCAAGGCTCAAATTAATCCACCTACCGGATAGCAACGGGTGTCGATGGAAGGGATCAGAACAAGGCGACCTCTTATATTTCAGCATTATCGAAAAAACGTCTCGGCTGCTGACGAATCTCATGACGGGGGAGCGACCCGGTAGTCCTTCATGCTGCTGGTACATGTACACAGTACAATAATTTTCTCGTTCTGCGGGGTTCTTGTAGCATTCTTACATGCCGTGATTGTGAAACCTGCAACTCTGACGAAAGCTCCTGCAGAAGTGAATGTAGTGTAAAACATGGCTTTCATTACATACAGTAGAATGGCGAAATGCATACTTTTCGTGGCTTCGGCACCGTCACCGGTCGCAAACCTGGGAGGAGCTGATGATGATGAAGCCTGAGAGATGGAGGCCGCCCTCCCCGACGCGGCTCTCGACGCAAGAACCATGTGTAAGGAGCAAGGCAAACGAGTTGTACAAGCCTTCCCAGGATTCCAGCCTCTCGGGGCTTTGCCCGCCTCGCCGTAACGCATGGGCGATCAGGCAACTTCTGAGCAACCATGCCCAAGCTCATCAGGCATGTCCGCACCTTGAAGTTCTGAATCCCCTCTTCCAGTTGTGCGAGCTCCATTATTCTGCAGAGACGGCGGCATATCTGTTTTGTGTGCTGTCTCCCAGGTACCTTACTTACCCTTTGGCCCTCTGCCTCGCCCGGAGCTGACCGCCTGTGACGCCGGACTGCAAGGCTGACTCTGTCGTGGACGCGACAGGGACCGTGGTTTGTAACCGCAATCTGGCAAATGGTGTCGATATTGAGATTTCCCAGCACCCAGCTTTGTCCGTAAGTGAACAGATCGAGATACCTCCCGACACGCCAACCAGCAGACGAGCGTATGCGAGCGTCACCCAGACACTAGAACTAGGCAATCGGGTGGTAGTGCCAAAGGCCGAACCGGGTTGACATCAGCATCTAGGCCGTTATTGACCATCGCACGGTCGGCGCCGCATGAGTTTGTCACAGCATATCATCAGCAGCTCGGACTTCATCACCTGAAGTGAGATGTATCCCTCTCGCTTCTCCCACAATCCCCAGGRGAAGACGGAGAAGAAGAAGAGTGGTCCATGTCTCAGCAAACCGGTGKAGATCKMGGYSGKCGCCGWWYCRYWA